CATCTCTGTTACATATGCATAATTCCTCGCTCGAGTCTCGGAGACGGGTAACATAGGGTGTGATCTTAACCCAGATCCTTATCGTCGAATGTAGCCGTGCGTTTGTTTGCAATATCTTTTTACAACAACACTTGTAAATTTCGAATTAGGGGAGGGGGCCAAAAATGAATTTTCGTTGAATGGAATACTAATTAGTAGACTGCGAATTTTATGCATTTATGATACGCAGTCTACTAAATATTCAACGATATAAACCAGAGTTAGGCATTTGTCAAATAATTATTTTCAACTGAATAGAATAATAACCCATTATCCGCCAATGTCCCATTTTTGGGACACATATTTAGATCAAAACAATAAATAGTTCCAGTTGGTTAATATGAATATCATTATAAAGTTAATTTAATCTTCCTTTGCATTTTTGAATTGTGGCGGGTAATGGGATAAGAAGAAATTAATCCTTAGTTGCCCGCTGAGCCACCAGAGGGCAGAGCCAAAAGGAAGCTTTGCGCTATATTATGAGCTTAGCTTAACAATTAATATTAAAGAATAGGTTAACCTCTCGCAACTAAAAACTTGAGCTTTACATTCTATTATATCCTATTCATTCATTTTTTAAACGTAAAGAACACTTTTGTTGATTTCAACTCGAACCGAAGAACTGTTTACTTATTCAACGAACATCGCGAAATTACACCAATGGTTAAGTTAATTAACCGCAAAATAGATCAATCTGAAACACGTTATTATCGTAATTATATTCATTATGAATAATACATCAGAGGAATTAATGACGAATTGAAGTGAAAGCCGTATGAACGACTTACGATTAATTCAATAGTCAATCGCCAACTGTCATGAGCGATTAACTAGTTAATAGCTATTATAATAGCTATTATCCGTTCAATCGTTACATCGATTAAATATTGCTCGAGGTTGGTCTAAACTAATATTCTGATATCAATTAAAGGTATCAGTCGACAACTTTCACGTAAAACCTTGCGAATTGAAAAGTTCTCGGAAAGATTCGTACCTTACTTTTAAAGTACTTTAAACATTAATAATCTTGCGTGGTTTACTCACCGGAGTGCGACGACCCTGCAGGGTTGCAGTAGTTGCAGTGAACTTTCAAGGTGATATCTCGTTACGTCCATAAAACCCCGACACAGCCTCATTTCCACCTGAAAGACACCAACATGATTTCTCTCTCACACACAATATGAATACGTATAAGGCAATATTAAAGTTCAACGTAGGGCTATCCAGGGCCATATATACCAGCACATAACTATACAGGGTGTAAGAAATAGGAAAACACTAACCTCAAATCAAATATGGAATTAAATTTTAAGCGAACACAAAGTTTCGGCAAGTGCACATTTTAGAAACGCTTTCTCGGACTGTTATCGGTAAAGGACGCCATGTCAATCAAACGACCGCGAAAATTTGTTCATTGCCACCTGGTGGACGATACAGGAGACATTGAAAATTATCGCATACCAACTGTACGCATAGGCCGAACAGCAAAAAATCTAGAAACTTTCTTACCGCGAAGAGAATCTCTTTATTTATTCTCATGAACTACTTTGACTTTCAAAAAATAATATACAAATGTATATTAACACTCTTTGAATGCAAATCTGCGACAATGCGCGAATTTCCGGAAGATTTATTCTCAGAATTCTCTAAGAATTTCCCTACGAAATTTCCCTACATTTCTATTATCTAACCAAAAAATCATAGGAAATACTCAAATAGTTTACCTATTGTATGCAATTAATCTTTACGTAAAATAATATGTATGTGCCAAAGTACCGGTCTCAGCAATGCCATCGAGGGATGAATAACCTCAAATACGTAACTTTGGCATCGATATGTTATACGTTAACTCGCGACACGTTTACCAAATCAAACGTAGTTTTTATTATGTAAATCTACTAATCAAGCATTAAATTTTCTGTTCAATTTTAAGCCAGCATTCCTTCGTTTGGTTACACCCTGTAGACACAAGTAACGAGACAGGCGGTAAAGGCGGCAGGATGTTAGCCTCTCGGAGGAAAAAGGATGTCGAGTGTTCGCGCATGCTCCCTGACCGCGGCGCTTAAGTACACACGCGAAGCACACGACACACGATGGTTTCATGCATATAACGTATATTTGGACGGTGCACAGGATTTTAGTATGCAGAACAGGCCGCCTTTAATGCTGAAATATCGCCGCGAACACCGCAGCATCGTCTGCTCATCTTTCCAACCGACGAAATTTCATACCCTTTTACGACACCGTTAGGCGATTCGAACGAAATCTGCGCACCATCGAGCACGCTACTCGGAACGATACATACGTGACGTGAAATATATCGATAATGTTCGAGTTAAACTGTCACGTGATCCCACTGGCGCTTCTTTCGCGTCATCGCGCGCATTCGAAAACCGGATATATTCGAACGGGACTGCGTGGATCATTCTCCAATCTTTATAGACTTTCGCGCAACATTAATATTACGTATCCCCGCGAACATTGCGATAACGCACACCCGATAAATGGAAAATATAGACGGAGGGTTAAGCTATTATAAATATTCCGGGTAAAACATTGCGCGTACGTTATCATTATTTATAATTCACAGACGTTGTACCATGGACAAGCTTCGGAAGTTATACTCTTCGGTACACGGGATGAGCCAAGCTAAAGCTTTGCTGTTATTGCTAGCGACGATGAACAAACTTTTATACGGTTTAACGACGACTGTTGCATTATGATATGTGTAGGAGTCTAAACGAAAAATAAGGCACGGGGATTCGAAGCCAAGAAATATGTAAATAGAGCTTTTATGTTATTTTGTCGCGATTCGCGAACTCTGCGCGTTCTGGATCGCGCCACAAGTCGTCCCGCGACTTGTGGAAAGACGCGAAAGTAACAAAAGTAGAGATAAGAGGCGGGTGAATATCTCTGAGCAGGCACCAAGAAATTGACCGAATGTTGCCAGCTGCCAACACCGTATTAAAGGAATCCCTGTCTACGTTCCCGCTTTTAATCCCCTTTCAGGGGCAGCCAGCTTGTTTTTCCAAGCATCCGCTTCCAGATGCTTTACCAAACTCCCTTGCTTCTTGTTTTCGGCGTTGTTTTGTCTCCTGGCAGCGTGCGCCGATTGATTCACGCCTGGACGAACACCCGCGAATTTCTATCCCCTTCTACCTATCGACCTTTTCATCCGCGCCTCTTTATCTCTCCTCCCCCGCTTTGTTTAGTGATTCTAACATTCCTCCGATGATTGACGAGACCGCATCGACCGTACTGTATCGCTTGTTTCTGGAACGAAACTCTCCCGCGCTCGAGCACGCCTCGCTTAACATTTCTACCATCAATTATTCGATAACTTCCGCGCAAATGATAAGCTGCAGCTGATGAATGGAAACTGGAGACTCAATTGTTCGTTACGTAATTGTCGTTATTTTTTTCTTTCGACGAATACCCAATTAGAGAAATGTGGGACATCGTCCCTTGAAAAATCCCGGTTCCGCATTATTGCATACCGTTGCAAGTGTTACACAGTGCCCTATAGACGAGTCCTTTTCTAAAAAAATGGCTCACTATGGATCTTTAGCATATTTTGGGACTCTGTATATTCTTGACTCTAACATTCTGTCTTATCGAATATCGAATTATATACACTCACTATGGATCTTTAGCATATTTTGGGACTCTGTATATTCTTGGCTCTAATAATCTGTCTTATCGAATATCGAATTATATACATAATTAATAGACATGTAGAATAATTAGAATACTTACTACGATAACAGCAGCACCATCAAGACGTTTAGTTTAACAAATTTTACTCGGGAACGTTTCGTCACACGTCTAAACTTTTCTTAATAACACGGCATATTGAATGATACCGAGAGCTTTGTAGGATGTGGCGGTCACCTCGACCACGGAAAACCAAAACATGGCCATCACAGAGCGTCGATTAGGCGCGGCCTCTGCGCGACTTTCCACGTATTTATTATTGTTAAATTCCACCATCTGGATGAAAATGCGACACCCGAAGGCGTACAACGGAACGCTTGTAATAATACTAAGTAATTGCAGCTGATAATCGATATCTCCGCTGCGCAGTATTTAGATAACTTTTTTTCATCTACCAGATGAAAATCTTCGAAACAAACTCTATCAAAGAGACGGAGAAGCACGAAAGGGCGATGAAGAGCACGGCGAAGTTCAGTCGATTTCTAGAAATTTTCATTAAAGAGCAAATCGTTCCTCTCTGCTTCCGCTTACTAAACCTCGGCTGCTTCCTCTTTTTTTTCTTTCATTAACGGCACGTCGAGCTACTCTGCAATTTCCTTGGGTAGACAATAAGCACCGCCGAGAAAAAGGAAGACGAAACGGGAACTCGGCGCAGGAGGAGCCGCTACTGCCTTTCATAAAATCCAATTTAAGAACTGCTTCTGATCCCCGTCGTCCGTCCTTATTCCACGGTAATAAAGAACCACCGAAGACCTCTTCTTTATACACTCGCAAGTAAACTGGATTTAATACGACGGTTATTACTTTGTGTACCCGCGTACCAATGTTGCAGAAGCTCGCGATGCATATCGACGAAAAATATCCGCCCGGTACAGATACCGTAAGAATACGAGCAAAACGACGGAAAATTCGCGGCAACGTGCCCCCTCATACATTCCGTACCATCGTTACCGACAAATATGTAGAAACGTGTAAGCGACGAACCGCGTGCGATATTCGAGCGCTCGTACAACTTCAGAATTGGTGTCGACGCTTTCGATAAATACGCGTTTCACACCTCATTCTTCCGCGTTACAGGCATATTGTAGAGCTAAATTAGTGCTCAGGCACAATGCCAAACGTGCATCTAGATAATATTTACGCCGTGCTATCGTCCCTCGCAATTTACCAAAAACAATGAGCGAGGTCGCTCGATGATATGCGGGATCACGAGAGGAATATTATTAACACGATTTTTACTATTTGAATAGACCGAAATTGTAGCAAATTTATTATAGAAGGATATTACTAGAGGAGCTAAAGGAGAAACAAAAGGAGAACAAATTATTGGCTAGAGACCAAAGGAGAACTTAAATGTTACGAAATAGTGTACGTTTTCTATGAAAATGAAATAATGATCAACGTTGATTTATAGTATAATAGTTCAGTTTTGCTCCTGATTGTACATTCAACGGTAATCGTCTAACTTGTTTTAGCTATCGCTAGTGTGTTGTACTCCTCAAGTGTCCAGTACTCTTTCTATGCACAACTCCGCGTAAACGTATCGAGATTCGTTATATCTCCAACTAAAAGAGAAAATGTCACGTTTACGTTGTGGAGCAAGGCTCCACGTCGTTTATAACACTGCGATAATCGTTCCACACTTGGTTCTGTTTGAAACACATGGCTCCGCCGCCTCGGGAATACTGCGTGTCCTAAAAGAAGAAAATACCTCATATTCCTTGAAATGTTTAATACCGCGATATCACGAAACGGAAGCGAGCGTATTTACGGCTCTGTTAATATCGGCCACGCAAACCCAATGAGCGGCTGCTTTCTTGGTGACTGTTATGGCCCATTTGGAGTGATCGCGGCTGCTCGTGAAATCAATATTGGCCGCCTCGAACCGAAGGCTCTTTACGTTGTAAATTCTGTAAAATCAACGGTGTTAATAGAAAAAAAAAATGTTGGACGCTGAATTAGGCGATCGACGTTACTTTCTACGGCTGCAGGTGGACGGAAGTTTCCCACGTCCGTTCAACCACGACTGCACGTACAGATTCGTCTGCAACTGCGGCGCGACGAAATCGGCGTACAAATCTAAATGAATAAATATTATGCAAAGTGATAATGCGAGTTGCGATTGCAATTTATTTTGATTACCTTTCTGCCACTTGCTACCCTTGGCGAACGAAGTGAACTCGACCGATCCCAAGGTTCTTATCGAAGCTTTGCTGTTGTAGGGGGGTGATTTAACGCGTTTCTGATTGGTAGCGTTCCTCAACAGTGGATACTCGTTGCCTAGAGTATCGGGAATATTTTTAGCGTACACTACTATCTCATTGTACATTAACTGTTCGCCGAGAGTGTTGAATTGATCACTGCCGATGGAGACACACAGAAAACTCTGTCCAAAGAGCGTTCCACTGTCTGGATAATTATACCGGCCAGCGATAGTTATGTTTTCCCTGATCGTAGGACGAGTTACCTCGCCGACTGTTGGAACTGGAGGGAAACTCGGCACGCTATGAATTAACCAAAACCCCTGGTCGCTGTTAACCATCACTACGCCCTTCGCGTGGCCATATTTAAAGACTGTCGGTGCATCTGGAGGATTGTCGTTGTACAAACTCCACATACTTTTGGCTTCGATTTTCTATACGATAAAACACAATTTAGAATTCAAATTGAACGTTAATTAAGAATGGTCCAGAAAGAAACAGTTACTTTTCCTGGTTACCGAATCAAAGGGACAGATACGTATCTGTTAATTTTAATTTCGTTACTATTTATTGTATTTCCAGTTATGATACCGGATTAATATTCACAATTATTGAAATAGAGAAATTATTTGGCCGAATTTGATAACGCAGAAGAAATAATTGTTTATTCCTGACCGTCCTTAATTTTGAGAATTTCCAGCTAACTATACTAATTATATAGTAAACAAACAATTATCATAGTAATGTCCAACTAATCCCCAGTAGCCTATAGCTTTCATTATAACGATACACTTATTGCCAAGCGATTCTTCCAGTTGTCAAAGCAATACAAGTATTGAATAACTGTAATAAAATCAGTGTTAATAAAAACAATTGGGATGTGCTTACGTCATCGTAGAGTGGCGCTAACGTGACTCCAAGGATGGAATTATTTGAACCGATGGACTTGGTAGACAACGACCAACCGCTCTCTACAGTTGCGTTTGTTATATAGAGATAAGCATAGCCTTCTCTAATCAGAGGATTGCTACTGGTTGAAGTTTTCGGTAACTTGTACGCCACGTACCTAAAACAACATTGACATTAGCATGGTAGCTCTTCGCGAGACATGGTCTTACGAGAGCAAGACACGAACTACGGTCCTCGTTTTGTATTTTCTTTTTTAAGTTGTTCTGGGTGTCCTTCCATACACCCAGGACCGTGATAAATCGGAGGCAAAAGGTTCCCTTGATCGCCACGTTACGAAGGTCATGTGAAAGTAACAAAAATTATATTAACAACTCTACCAACTACTTGTAAAATAATGTTATTTTTTTAATAGACGATTGTGTAATACTATTTCTAGACTAGATCTGTCATTCGAACAAATTATTACAAAACTCTGATTAGAATTAGCGGGTCCCCCTTGTTAGTAAAACAAGGAGTTGATGTTCTGATCGAAACTGCTGAGAGGCAATTACGTAATTTCTAAAGGTAAACGCAATCATTCACGCGCCACTAATGCTTCTCAAATAGACCCAAAAAATAGCCCGAGGGTCTAGCGAAAGTACAATGTGCTCGAAGGTTATTGTAAGGTACGAGTTTACAAGCACTTACCAATCAACGGGTGCATTGTTTTCGTCTTTACATTGTAGCTTATCGTTGGATTTGCCGCTTACATCGTTACACACGATTAGCCACGCGATCGCGTAAAACAGAATACTCGCCATTGTTTACTAGAATTAGAGAAAGCAAATATTCATCGTATCTCTTCATCTGTACAAACCGTTTACGATCAAATGTGTCGTTAACGAAGGCTTTCATGAAACAAGGTGAATGCTAATGTAGTCTTTTGTGCGTTTCCTAATTGTACGATAAGTTAGACGTTCCTTGAAAGCATTATTCATCAAATGAAATCACGCTGAGATTTTAAAATACCACAATGACAGTCACGATTGAATTACAAGTGCACCATTAAACTTTAGAAATCTTGGCTATCACTTTGCCTTCGTTGAAAATTGTCGTTGATTTGTTTTAATTAAATTCGAAGAGAAATTCGCTTCACTTGTGACCAGTCTTTAAACGTTAAAATATTTTACATCCGAAGTAGACAGAATTCACGTTCGGATGAAAAATTTCGAATAAAAAATAAACAAATGAACTTATTTAAATAACTGTTCGATGGATTAAACATTGTAAATAAATTACTCCGTAGAGTTTTTATTCGTCGCTTGTTATTCGAATGAAATTCTGTCCATTTCTGATTCGCGCTTGCTAAATGGGACTCTACATATGTGTGTACACGTGCTTTATAATTTCAATTACTTCGTAATTCGACATTCATACACTCAATAAGTAATACGAACATATACACGTATCGGTCAACTATTTACACCGCACGATCTCTAAATGTTCACTCAAAGTTGACTGATTACGTACCGAAATTTATCACGATTAAAACATGACACGACTCGACAGCTCTTCAAGTAATGATATTACTGGTATTGCAGTCGGGCCGCTGCATGGTTACTGACAGTCACTGCAGAATGAAACAAGACCCGTAAACGAAGCGCGCCATTACGTCACGCTACTTTAACTATCCTATTGGCTGCTCGATTATTCAGCGTTCCCTTCAGAATACGCTCTTCGTATTTCTAATAGTAATTAAAGATCTTTGAATTTCCAATTCGTTTCACGCTTTGTAACTATGTTTATGTAAACAAATTTACACCAGAGAATGGAGGTATACAAATTTTCAATATAATTTAAATGGGGATATCGTTATTTCGTTTGATTAGTGCGTACCTCAACAATAATAATTGTCGCAATTGTTTTGTGATTACTTATACATCGCTTTCCTCGAATTTTCTTTTGGAAATGTAACTTCTTACACGACATCGGACCGATTTAACATTTGCGTTAAATTTCCACGCAGTATGAGGTAGGTATATTTGAATACATGAATGTTATATTTTCCAGATGTAGAGTAACTAATTTAATTACTCTTTATCCAACTTTCAGTTACTAACAGGTATTCTGAAATAGCGTTCGAACGATCCTTCGTCGCGAGTAATAGCGAGCTAATGGCTGCGAGCTTGTAACGAGAACGCAATGGTGAAATTTTATTAATACGTCCCAGATATTTGGAAGATGATACAAGGGACTTGCGATACAATGATTTTGTCATCACAAGTCTATTATATTATTTTCAGAATACCTTTTAGTAACTTGAAGTTGGATGATGAGTAATTAAATTCGGATTAAGATAATAACACTTGTTTTCCTCTTAATGGAATCTGGAATTACAATATACATTTTTGACGTTCACAAATGAGCGTAAGAGTAATCATAATTTGTCCTTAATGCATTTAAAGGAGAACGCTATTTTCGAATTGGCGAGTGTAACGCGCATTTGAAGAAACGAACAGCCCCATCTGTGCTGTAACGTGGAAAACAAGGGTTGTACCGAAATTTATGATATGATCGACTGCAGTGAAGTAGCAATATGGCGGTCGTGAGCTACTGTGGGCCGAACGTCATAATATTACAATGAGAAAAGGAGGCATATTGTGTAAAGGACTAGCGTACTAAAGTTTTAGCTCGACGAAATGCTTTCTTAGCAATGACACTGCCAACAGAGCATTTTAAGCGGCGTTACGGATTTCGTTGAGATACCTCTGGCAACCGACACGGAACGCAATAATGAGTTCTTCTGTTGCAGAACTTATTACAGAATATTCTTAACGCTGACAGAAGAACGAAGAAATAACTCTCAAATCCTGCGGCGAATGGAGGTATGCGTTTCAAAGTTCTGTTTCTAATAATCATATCTCTTATATTGTTATAATTCTGATAGTTTTATCAATTAATGCTACATTTCTAGATATGGTCTCCCTTTATTTTTATTATTTGTTAACAATGCAGTTATATGAATTGTTATCTTTAATAATGTTTGTACGTTTTTATAGTTATTGAGTGTAAGGAAGCATACCTAACATCTTTATGGCCTAATGTCTTACAAGTTAAAGGAACCTTTATCTTGAACATTTAATATTTTGCTCACTAAATAATAGAAAAATGAGCAGAATAGAAAGCAGTTTGGATAATGGTTGGCACGAATGTGCCAAGTGGTTAACCAGATGTGGAGCTTTAAGAGCGGATCATAAAGCAAATTGGCCAAAAGCAACAGCAGTTGATTTAGCATATACATTACGTGACGGTGTATTACTATGCAATCTTTTAAATACAGTGGATCCTGGTTGCATAGATATGAAAGATGTAAATCAAAAACCGCAAATGGCACAATTTTTGTGTTTACGAAACATAAAAGTATTTTTATTGGCATGCTCAACTATTTTTGGCCTGTCAGATTCTGACCTCTTCGAACCCTCCATGTTGTTCGATTTATCAAATTTTCATCGTGTATTGTGTACTTTATCTGTTCTTTCAAACTGTTCTCGTTTAAGACGCAAGGGAATTCCGTAAGTAATTTATTATCATATATTTGCTTAACTGCAGATTATATCGTTTTAATCTTAGAAATTTTTATTGCAGTGGATTTTCTATAGGTCATGGTAGATCGCAAGAAGATATTTACAAGGGCTTACAAAGTGCTGGTGCAGGGTGAGCATTTTAATTTTCACGAAGTTTTAAGTATTCTAAATATATTAAGCATTGCAGCAAATTATAATAGTTATACAACAATTAGACTTACTTAAAAATAAACATTTTATACAATTTTTATATAAATTAATGAACAAAAACAGATATCATTGTTTTTTGCTCAATATAACTTTATAATAACTTCTATCAATGGGTTTAGCCCCACGACAGGTGTGGTGGCATTTACCATGAAACCTAAGGGTATGGATGTAGATGAATCCCAAGTATATCAAGAATTACTTTGCTTCTCGAGTAATTCTCAACACGACTGGCCTTCCACGGAGAAGGTATCTGTCGTTTGCAATTTAAAAGTTTAAAATATTTTGTGAGAAAAGTACCAAACATCACTGTATTTCACTATTGGAAAGCGTTCTTTAATGTTACACAAAATATAAATAACATATGTTCACAACCACTTATTGCAAAGTTAACTGTAATTCGGTACAGTGATACTGGCACTATTTTAAAGTTATACTGTATTTGCTCCAAAGTTTTATGTGCAAAGTTATGTTCACTCTTAATAACAAAAACTACCGTCGCTATAAATAGTTTAAGTTCGCCAGAAATTTTATTTTTTTCGTGCATGAATAGTGCATGGCTGTTCATATTTTTATGCTAAAGCCGTGAGGATGAAGGTCGCCGCAGAAGGTTTAGAAGGCGGGAAGGGAATGAGGCAGGTGGAGGAGGGGACAACGAAGATCCAGTTGGGGAGGAAGATGGCTACGGAGCATTTTGCAGTCATGCTCAAAGCGAAGAAATCTACCAGGACCTTTGTAGTCTACACTTGCCACCTCCTCCATCTGTTGCACAGGTCGTTACATTTTTGTGTTTCTTGTTATATCTACCTTAATGGTATTTTATAATCACATTTATCTCGACAGTACTTTAAAATTGTAAGTTCTAAAGCTAATAATTGGTCTTGTTTCGCTTCATAGTATTTTGCATTCTACATCGTATATCACAAGCGGATTATTGTAATTAATTTGGTTCCTGTAAAACAGGATGGTGCAATCTCTGGTGGAGAGAAAAGGGACTATGTGATCCAAGAACTTGTCGAAACAGAACGGAATTATTCTGACGTCCTTAACAGTTTGCTCAGACACTTTGCTAGACCTCTTTCATCATTACTACGGCCTGAAGATTCAGCACGCATATTTTTTGGCATAAAGGAACTCGCAGAAATTCATGCCGGTTTTCATAGCCAACTTCGAAAGGCAAGAACCGGCGCAGCTTTAGCGCAAGTTTTCCTCGATTGGCGAGAAAAGTTCCTGATTTATGGCGATTATTGCGCAAATCTTACACTTGCACAAAACACGTTACAAGAAGCTTGTGCGCGAAATGAATTAGTTAATCAAGAAGTTATTGTACGTTTTACAGCATCCATTTTTAATCTATTATTTTGTTTGAACCAATAAACTTCACGGGAATATTAATTATAGCGGTGCCAACAAGAAGCTAATAATGGTAAATTCAAGTTACGGGACATACTATCTGTTCCAATGCAAAGAGTATTGAAGTATCACTTATTGTTGGATAAACTAGTAGAAGAAACTCCTTGTGAGTGGCAAGAAGATAGACGTCAGCTTGGCCAAGCTAGAGAGGTTATGGTTGATATAGCTCAATATATTAATGAAGTGAAACGTGACTCCGACACCTTAGACATTATAAAGGATATTCAGGCGTCAATAATTGATTGGGATGTTCCTGAGGATGTACAGTTAAAAGACTTTGGGCGACTACTTAGAGATGGAGAGCTCAAGGTATTGTTATTTTAATACAGGAAACATTGTTTTAACTAGTGAATTAATGCAATCTGACAATTACATTTCAGGTAAAAGCTCACGGTGACCAACGAATAAAGGCGCGTTATGCATTTGTTTTCGAGCAAGTAGTATTAATTTGTAAAGCGTGTAGAGGAGAACAGTACTGTTACCGTGAAACTTTACGGCTAGATGATTATAGACTGGAAGATGTTACAGCAAGACGTATACTTGGCAAAGATTCTCGATGGACCTACCAATGGATGCTTGTCCATAAACAAGAATATACAGCATATACTTTATCTGCAAGAACGGAAGAACAAAAACAAATGTGGATCAAGGCATTACAAGATGCAATGGATAATGTTAATCCCGCTGCATGTCGCAACACAAACCATAAGTTTAAAGTCACTACATTTGATAATCCGCTTAGTTGTCAGCGATGCGGCAAATTTCTAAAGGGTCGCATATTTCAGGTAAAAGGTCATCGATAAGCGTGCAATAAATATTATAATACAAACTTACTACTAAATTATTCATTTGTACAGGGATATCGGTGTGAAGTTTGCCGCGTTGCTGTGCACAAACAGTGCATTGCACATTCCGGTCGGTGTACTCCGGCACCACCCCCACCTTCACCTCCGCCACCTCTACCATGTGAACGTGCTCTTTCAGTGAAATTATGGTTTGTAGGAGAAATGGGTCGAGATACAGCTTCTAATAAATTAGAACCCCGCGAAGATGGCACATACATGCTGCGAGTGCGACCCGCAGGACAACCGCGTTTACAACATGAAACTAATTACGCTCTTAGTATCAAGTAAGAATTTCGTATAACCTATGTTTTTATTAAAATACTTCTTCAAATGTTTATCTTAAAAAACATAAATGTCAATTACTCTTATAGGGCTGACGGAGCAGTAAAACATATAAGAGTATTTAAACGCGACGTCGATGGAGCTGATTTATTTTATCTCAGTGAATCTCGGTTCTTTAAAAGCGTAGTTGAACTCGTCGAATATTATGAACGGGCTTCATTGGCAGAAAATTTTGAAAAATTAGATCAACGTTTGTTATGGCCATATAGACGTGTATTAGCTAAGGCACTGTTCGATTTTCGTGGAGGAGAACGCAATCAACTAAGCTTACGACGAGGCTGTAGAGTCGTAGTGCTGAGTAAGGAAGGTGATGCCAAAGGATGGTGGAAAGGAAAAATAGGAGATCAAGTAGGATTTTTTCCGAAAGAATACGTCGAGGAAGAGTAAATATAAATTATATTTATAATACTTCCTCGATGTGGTAGCACGACGATCGAGAATATTCTTACACATTAATCACATCATCGTGCAATCATAATACTATATTAAAACGCCCTTCAGTGGAGAACAGAAGAAAAATAATTATATAACACATTTTTACATTGTATAAAATATAGATAAATTAATTTTCATACATCTGCATCATTATAAAAATACAAATTATTTTGTTGTTCTCTTTACTTGAGGTTGTGCAGTATCACACTCATATAAATAGGAAGTACATATGCGTGTATGTGAACCGACATATAAAAATGAATATATTTAGCGACTTGTATAGGCAAAAGAATTATAATTATTTTTCGGTACGATACGGCGATATCAATAATTTAAAAAAGATGTAATTCATGAAGATCAGAGTTGTCTATCCTAGTATATTCAAATCATGTAGAAAAAACTATGATGCCAAATTTTTATACTTGTAGACAACTTCTTTCTTTATGACTATATTTTAAAGTCAATTGCCAAGCCTCAATTGTATATATTGTAATTCTGTACTGTTAACGATAAAAATTTTAACTATTTCCTAAATATACATACACAAATATATAAATATCGCTACACGCATTATTGTAACAAATTAATTGTACTATTTTTTTAACTGTTACACATATTTTCTGATTGTGCCAATGAAAATAATCAATAAAATTTAGACCTTATTAAAACGTTAACATAACGGTGTATTATTTATTTAACCCTATAATTCTTTATTTAATAACTTCTTCCTTCTAGCATATATAATAGAAGCTACTTTCTGCTCTAGTCTTTTACAGCCAGCTGTTGCATAAAGGTTATGCGGTGGAGGTCCAAAAACAACATAAGACATAACTTCTTCTATCATATCATTGGTAGGAGTACTATCCCTCTTTAAAAAAGCTTTTCTTAAACACATTTTCACATGTGCTTCTTCAAGTGGTAAGAAAGGTACATAATGATCTATGAGACTAGTGTCTATTGCCTCACTGCGATAAAGGCCACCTTTTTCATTGAATGCTCCAACACTTATTAGATTTTCAAAATCTTGGAGTTTAGTTCCATGTCTATGCTTGCCTTCTGCCCAAAGTGTAAGTAAACGTTGTGTGATTTTTGAACTGCCAGTATTAGACAAAAATATGTAAATGGCTTTCCTAGTATTTACTGTAGCACCCATTAATCTCCAAGATTTGAACCATGTAGTATAATCCAAAAATGGTACAAGCACATTTAATAAACCTTCTGGCATTTTATCAACTTCATCAAATACAAATATTGATCTTTCACATTTTATTAAACTATCCATAATAGTTTTACGTAATTCCTCCTGTATGATACAAAGTAACACAACACACTAAAATAATTTATATTAAAAGGTATTTAAAATGTGTCTTGTAATTATACTAAACATGTACCTTGTAGTGTTCTATATCTCTTTCCAAAGGAAAATCATTACGACCATTGAAAAAATGATAAAATTTACTATGATCACCTTTTTTGTAAAAGGAGGTGGCAATCATTTGAGCTACATAAGTTTTACCAGTTCCTGGAGGACCATGAAAGCTCATAGCCAAAGCTTTTGGAGGATTAGATGAACCTAGATGGCCACGTAAGGCATTTACAACTATATGATGAGCAATTTCTTGCCCATAAAGTTCTGTATTAAGAATGTCATCTAACACTACCAAATAAATGTATACATATAAATAATGTAATTAATTATGTACGTTTGTTATTACATTTTTTCTAGTTGATATACTTACTATTTATATCAGGAGATACATATTCATCATTACAACATTCTGCAAATTTACAGGGTATATACTCTACTACATTATAAAGTTTAGAATATATAGTCGATAGTGTTCCTGTCCAAGAAAATGCACATTTTACACAAACTGTTAAAAAAGTGACAAAAATCCACATCGACAAAAAACCGGCAAAATTCATTTTCTCTTATTGTTTGATTGGCACAAAAAGAACCGCATTTGATCACACCTAGACATTAATTGCTAAAACCTAAAATAAATTATTGAAAATTCTATATCACAGAACCAATTCATGGAAAAAAATTCAATTACATACTTATACGGTTATGGCAACCTGTATATAAGTACCAATAATCAAAATACGGACCAACAAACAAATTGGAATCGCCATCTAGAGGTGAAGGACGAACTAATTTTTCAAAGGGGTATATATGTGTGTGTGGTATCTCATTTTCCTTATAATTAACTTGAAGTAAAGTTAAATAATAACAGTATTAAATAATAAAATAGTTAACGCATATGTGCTTATGTCAAATTTATTATTTTTAAAAATATATTATTTAATATTAGTTTTAATACCAGTGGCGCCATCGGTGGGAAACCGCCCAAGTTTGTAGTGGAAATAGTTCCCAATGTTTTTGTAGGATGGCGCCACTAATACCTTTAGTCAAATAATATTTATTATTGCTAAGTTTATGTGTCAAACATTCATATTGTATGTAAAAATATTTGAAGATATTGCGAATAAAAAATAAGGTACCACGTAATGTGACTATTTTTTATCAATTTATGTACACATATTAGCATGAAGCTATAATATGAAATAACATTTCATAAACAACATTAATTTATTCAATTCTTTAATTTTTTTATTAAAAAAAAAAAGACTTAGCAATAAAAATCCTTATTGTTGGAAACATACATTCAATACTTATATCAAGTATATGGGAACAAAACATATTGGTGAGCTCACCCGAGATGCATACATGTAAATCCAGACTCCTTATTGGTCCCCATTCCAGACAAATAATTCCTACCTTTCGATTCAAAATATAAAGAAATTATCATAAATATACATAAATAAAACTAATTCAAACATGTAATATGTATATTTTTAAATACATATTTCGCCATATTTACGTGAACTGAATATGCATTGAGTAACTACTGGTTTATTCATTATGGAATATTAAAACCTTTGTGATTACATGATTAAAGATTAAAGTACTATAATTTTTCTACTTTATTACATTCGTTACATGTTATAAAGATTACTGGCTACATTTAGTTAATCCAAATATTATCATTTTAGAAACCGTATCAACGAAGAATCATAGACATGCGTACATTAAGATTCGCATGTTCTACTAACCAGTTCCCTAAATTCAGTGCTCTAGCATGCTCTAGCTGCAGATCAGATAACGATAATCTATTGAACAAAGTTTGTTGCTTGATTAGTACCAATTAGTACTTTTCCACCTAAGGTGGTGTGATGCTTGTTTAAACATCAGACGATCGTCTATACTTAATACTTTGTTTACCTCTTTTAGTGGTATCTATATAATATTCGAATACATTTTAAAACTTATTATTTCATTCAAGAAATAAAAATATGGCGTCTGGGGATACTGCTGTTGCTGAATCCACTTCTACAAAATTGTACACGAGGAATGAAGTGAAAACACACACGGACAGCAGTGATGTGTGGATTATTATTAATAATAGCGTTTACGACTTAACTTCATTTTTAAATAAGGTTCATATCGTCATTATTTTATAACTGTGACATTTTCAATGTTAGTCTGTTTTTGGCTAAATGTGTTTTCAATAAAACTTGCATAAAAATGGTCGTTTTTCTATTCGAATTTAAGCATCCAGGTGGAGAAGAAGTTCTTTTGGAACACGCTGGCCGTGATGGCACAGAAGCTTTTGAAGATATCGGACACTCTAGCGATGCGAGAGAAATGATGGTCTCATATAAGATCGGAGAACTTGTAGAAGTGAATGTCAAATTTAATATTTATGCTCTGTACATCTACAAAAAAAAAGTTAGGTTTTTCATGATATGAAAATTATTTCTTTATTCTAGGCAGAAAGAACTAATGGAACTGCAAGTGGATTGTCCAAAGATGACAATTCCAGGTAAATTGATCCTTTTAAAATTGTCTGTTGTGATTAATATTCTTATCTATGTACAGGTTGGCTCAAATTATTGATTGAAATCCATTGCAAGATTAGATAAAGATTAGTGGCTATGTTTAGTTAATCCAAAAGTTACCATTTCAGAAATCTTATCAACGAAGAACATTGCGTACCAACAAAGAATCATCAAAATGTGCACCTTAAGATTCGCATCTTCTACTAACCAATTCGCTAAATTCAGTCTGTAACTCTAGCTGCAGATGAGATAATGATAATTTATTGAACAAAGTTTGTTGCATGATTAGTACCTTTCCACCTAAGGTGGTCTGATGCTTGTTTAAACATCAGATAATTGTCTATACTTAATACTTTGCTTAGCTCTTTTAGTGGTATCTATATACTATTCATATGCAGTTTAAAACTTATTGTTTCATTCAAGAACTAAAAATATGGCGTCTGGGGATACTGCTGTTGCTGAATCCACTTCTACAAAATTGTACACGAGGAATGAAGTTAAAACACACACGGACAGCAGTGATGTGTGGATTATTATTAATAATAGCGTTTACGACTTAACTTCATTTATGAATAAGGTTCATATCGTCATTATTTTATAACTGTGATATTTTCTATGTTAGTCTGTTTTGGCCAAATGTTTTTTTAATGAAACTTGCATAAAAATGGTCGTTTTTCTATTCGAATTTAAGCATCCAGGTGGAGAAGAAGTTCTTTTGGAACATGCTGGCCGTGATGGCACAGAAGCTTTTGAAGATATCGGACACTCTAGTGATGCAAGAGAAATGATGGTCCCATATAAGATTGGAGAACTTGTAGAAGTATATGTCAAATTTAATATTCATGCTCTGTATATATTCAAAAGAAAAGTTAGCTTTTTCACAATACGAAAATTATTTCGTCATTTTAGGCAGAAAGAACAAATGGAACTGCAAGTGGAATGTCCGAAGATGACAATTCCAGGTAAATTGTTTCTTTTAAAATTGTCTTTTGTGATTAACATTCTTATGTGTGTACAGGTTGGAACATTGTTAAAATATAGCAAAAAGTATTTGAGACAGAAATAACTTGTCTTTATGAAGAACATAATGTGATGACGAATTCCTGGTTTTGATTTGAAGGAAGAAACATTTCAAGGTTCTTGAGGCTCTTGTTAATAGACCTTAAAATGTTCTTGACGTGTGGTATTTCCAACTGGAACCAAGAAGATATCATTACAGTATGTCCTTCATGAAATCCCTTAAACATTCTTTTTTAATTTTAAAAATAGATGAGTTATCCAAGTGATCTGTCTTAGATGTTTCCACCTGGTATATCATTGATAAATACAGACATTATAAATAATGTTAATACCCTATCTATGTATGTATTGTATCCGTTATCTCATAACTTTTCCGTGTTACTATTTATTGGATAGCACAATTGAAAATTGAAGTTTCAATTGTTACAGGAACGTGCTTAATGCTATATGCTTATGTGTTTTGTATTTATATGTATCTGCAGGATATACCATATTTGTAAGTTAAGTTTGTGCTATCCAGACTCGTAACATTATTAAAATTTAATACATATAATATGTAAATAGTCGGTGCTGCATCGTGATGTGATGATTGGCAATTGCAGTGGTTCTTGGAGGTCGTGGCTGATTCCTATTGCACTTGGGGTTCTGGCGACGCTCGTCTACCGTTATTTTATCAAAGCACATTAAATCATTCCTAATTACTATTTTGTAATTTGTATTGTACATAAATAATTGTTATAAATAATTAATGGGCGGATATTACAAATATGCACATTATTACAATTTTTTTACAACATGAAATTGCACATACAAACTGGCCTAACATAAAGCCAACAAAAGAAGAAAGTTCATTGAAACTAAAAGACATACGTACATTCAGTTTCACATATATATGGAATACTAATATGAAATGACATTTAAAGTTGGTGAATATCCTTAAATTTTAATAATAAATGAACATACACTGCAAAGGCAGTAAGTCTAGCTTCTTCAATGTATCGCGAATAATTGCATTTTACAGATCAAATTTATTAAACGTTTATTGTAAATTTATGTGTATAATGAAAATAAACTACTTTTTGTTATGTTTTATGCGTTGCATATAACAATTTATCAAACCTACTCTTTATATGGAGGAAAAAATTGTTTTTACCTGTACCTTTATTCTTAAAAATACTATTCCTTCTTATCCAAGTACCAGTGTTCTAATTGTTACGTTTTTTCAATGCAAATGTTCATACTCAAGGTTATTTGATAGTTATACCATGATAGGTTATTGAATTCATTTCGAATTAAGAAAAATTAATTACCAACAACTCGTTCATATTGTCAGAATTAGATTAATATTTTCCGAGTATAGACAATAGATGTCGCATCATGTACATAGCGTAGAAGATAAAGTACATTCCTGAAATCTAACTATTACCAACAGTAGTTCGTTTTCATACGATGTAAGTACTACGCTTTCATCGAAATTTATGATATATGTCTTACGTACTTGTACAAAAAGATCCAAATAGTTTCTACGTTAAATATTTCTTTCTATAATCTTTGATCAAATAAAACAATTCATCGAATAAACTATATTTATATGTATAGGAGTTACAGGACGATAAATGCAATTACGTGATCTATGTTGAAAAAACGCGCTAGCAGTTGTGTCACTTAACATGTCAATAGCTGTGAACAAACTTGTGTAGTAACAGACTGCAACACTTTTAAATTGACATGCAAGAGGATAATAAATTTCTATGGATCTCGTATCTTTTGAGACAATAGTAAATAATCAAAGACTTACAGATTCCGCTATTCCACTTGCAACTATACATGACTCGTATCAGTCATTGATTTCGTTGATGACGTTGTCATCGCTGTAAAATTTAAAAGAACATCGACGCGAGGATCGACGTCCCATTTATCACCTTTCCATAAAAATTATCGATCAAACGTGAAAAATATTCAAACTACCCTTCGACGATTGATATCCGAAAATCCATTAGTCTGTTGCACGTGATGCATTAGATTTACTCGTTTAATTCAATTACGCGCAAAGGGAAGAGGGGAAGATCTCTTTTTGATGTTTGAGGTCTTATCAACATTCATTTTGGATTCGATCTAATGGGGGATTAACCAAGAGTTAAAGAGCTGCTTCTTTTCCGATTAAGGAATAACAAACAGTTAAAAGATTAGATTAAGAGGTGAATTCATAGGTGTTCGGTAAAACTCGAAAGACAGAAAAACGATATCGAGCGAGTTCGGGCGCCGACGCTGGGACGCTCTTGCGTTTATCCTTTCTTCCCTCTCGCTCTCGCAATTTCCCCTACCCGACCTCGTTCCTGCTCGCCGTTCGGCGGGTATGTCTCCCTTTGTCGAACGCCTAGTTCATCGTCAGAGCTGGATCGGTGCATATCGTGTTGCAATATTATAACCTCGCACGACTCTGCTAATACGACGCATACGGGGAGTCACGGTAGGGTAGCGCAATAACAAAATACTTGATTTCGAAGACGGAAGACGTACATTGCAGCGGGGTGTTACCGTCCGAATAATCCAGTCAGAAAAGAAGGGCGCACGGAACGGTCGCCCATCGAATTGCGAACGAGAGAGACTCGCGAGCGAATTTAGCGCGAGAAGAGAGTCAGACGGCGAGCAGAAGACAGCTGTAGTCTGGCAAAGGCAGTGGTTGCACCGAAAAGTCGGCGTGGTGTCATGAGAGGCGGTCTCACAGTCCGCCCTTCTTATCGGTCCCTCTTAGAGTCATGCATGTCGCGTCCTTCAAACGAGGTGAGCGATGCTTTTCCTTCACCATCGCCCGACCTTCTTTTTATCATTTTGCCACGTGCATTATCAACAGCGGTTTCGACGCTAGAGGCACTTGTTCGTAATTGGAAAGATTCGCGCGCTTTTTAAGCACACCGAGTCGCTTCCATTCATGAATGCGACACCCATTCTTAGGACAAGGCCCTCTCGTCGAAGACTGTTGAGCTGTACGAAACGATGCACTAAGTGCGCGCTACTCTTAACCCGGGCGTGACAAAATTTCGTGTCGAGCAGAACCATTTAAATCGTTGAATAAACACGAACGCCTAATATCTCGCGTGACAAAGAAAATGGAGTTTGTTTATCGTTAACTTGGCAAACGTACACGACGGGAACCGGTTGATACAATGGCATTAATCGTTTCGCGTAAATCAGATGAGAAGTATTACGAAATTTTCGCGGAAAAGACACAATTCATCCGGGCGAACAAAACCTGTTGGTGCACACGCTCGTGCCCGAGTTATGGAACGAGAAAGCACGTGCGTGCCAAGATGCATTGTGCTTCTAGTTAGCACAGTCGTCGGGCTAATTATGCATAAACGTTTTCGTCTTCTTCAGTGAGATTTTTTTACGGAAAGTTCATCGAACGCGTGCGATATTTTTTCTCGCGCGACGGTGTTTGGTGGTTCCTCGAAAACGCTGGGATACGAATAAAGTAAATACAATGAGTTCCGGAGTTAAGCTCGTAGGTACGCGGTTGTGATCTCACTTATGTTCACATATTTTGCATGTATGTATGTTTTCAGATATCGAATAAAGTTTTCCTTCCATAAAATAGTACATATGGATTTTCAAAGCTTTAATTAATTTTTGAGATCGTTGGTTAAATGTATCATAGGAGAAAAGAGAGATCAATTCTAAACATTAAAACTACCGAGGTCAACGCATACTATACACACAACTATATCTTTGTAACTAATTTGTTAATCAATTGTTAATGATTGAGTAACTTTAGAAGGAAGTTCGAAGTACATAGGTCAAATGAACCAGCTTGGTAGTTTTAGCGTTGAACGAGTACTCAAAGAAAATACTTTGATCTTAATGATAACATGAATTGCGTTTAACGATTGACGCATAATGTTTACACGTGCACGGTTTGATCTTGGCAAATTCGGTTGTTTACAGCCGCTCGTAATTGACACAGATACCTATGTAGAGGATTCAACGAACCAATCCGAAGCCAAATTGGTAACGGTGGGATCGAGACGAAACGAAAACGCTTATTAAGTTAAAATGTAGCGAAAAATGCTCGTTACGCAATGCAAGAGAGCGCGTCTCTCGAAATCCACGAGCAGTTGCGTCATACCGCGAAACGGAAAGCTCGAGTTCGCAGGGTGCACGGAATCCTTAAGATACTCCAAGAATATCTTCGTTTCCTATTTGATTCCCTCCGTGGAGTGGTAATGCCAAACGAATTAACCGAAGTCAAGAGCACATTCGTTCGTATTCTTTTAATCTTTATGCTCGCTGTTACTTCAACTTCACCAAATTCTATCAAAAGATCGTCATTTTTCACTAGCAAACAAGCTATTATTTGTTCACATCAAACACTTTGTTTTAGTCATTTCAGGAACCTATAAAATAAATTTTGGTAAATATTTCTTCCAAGCAAAAAATTATAATTGGAATTAACAAGACATTTAACATTTTTAAATTATGATGATATTTATATGTAAGTTGTATGGTTACTTACATATTTTTTTGCATGTTATTGTTGGAATAACATTATAGAACTTGTGATAATTACAATAAAACAAGATAAAAAATTTGATGAAAATTACCTGAGACATACAATACACGGAAGTAAATGCCCAGACTTCGGATAATTACATTGCAAACGATAATCGTGTTTCGATAGATCATGCTTCCTTCGTCTCATTGATCTGTAAAAAAGATTGAACAAAATTAAAATCAAATTTATACAAGGGATAAAGTAATTTTTAGATACTTTAGACATTCGTGCTCCAAAATGTCGATCCGCAAGGAATTCAGAAATTGTTCACCTTATGGTTACCCTCAAAGTTAGAATTTCTGCGAATAGGAATAGTTCCTTGTAGACGAACGACCATTATGGATACAAGTTCGATGGCGATCGACCACTCTTCCCACGTTCGAGTTCGCGAGTTTATTTTTAACATTTCACAATAGATACGTGCCGTACGAAGTGGCCACAAATAGACGATCGAGTTCCAACGAACCACTCTACAAGGAGAAACGACGATAAGCGGTCCGACGACGTGTTACCATTTAAGCCAATTATGCCTTTTACACGCAAACCAATACGAGCGTTATTCTTCTCAATGGTGTCCCGTTATTATTATATCTAGGTCGATCGTCTCCAAAAGAACGTCAGTTTTATCGCAAGGAAATCTATTATTACACCGCGTCTTCGCAAAAAATCTGAACTTATAACGTGAAAGCTTCCTAGCGACTCTTGGCGGATTTACCATGGAATTTCATTTAAAACTTTGAGTATATAAATATAAACAAAAAATAATTTGAGTATATAAATTATTATAACTCAGAATTGAGCACCTAACAAATAGCCAACTAATATCCCATCACGAAGAGAATAAATAGGAGTACAAACATATTTGTATACTAATAACAATTGTTTTTCATAAAAGTTTTCTATAGATAAGTTTAGATCCGCCGTTAGTGCGCGGAACATCGTTTCGATCTCAATTATTTAATGCACGACGAAAACCTGTCTGCTTCGAGTTATAAGGCAATAAGCGAGTACCCATGATCGATAGAATGAAAATCATCGACCATTGTCAGTCAGCTGTAAATCTGCTATACATGGCTAATCATACGGCCTGGCGTGGGAAGCAAATTGAAGGTTCCCCAGCTGTATTTACGTAACAGTAAAAGCTTCCAAGTATCATAGCTCTGATCAGAGGAATGCGACGCATGATTTTCGACACCGATAAATGGATCAATAGTAGTTCACGCGACTGGCCAAGTGGTTCAGACCGTGAACCTACGGTTCGCGGAGTAGGTCACCGCGAACCACGTGTCTTCGAATACATACAACTCTAGACAACTGTTGGTCGCGACTGAGACAGCCAACCTTACGCTTTTAACCCTTTGCAGACCAATTTTTTCTCATTCCAAATAGGTTGGTCCGACCTACTTCTCGAATTTAAAACAATATCGAGGCACTTTGACTTGTTGGAATGATTTAGGATCGATCAAACACAACGTCGGACTGCAAAGGGCTGAAAGGAATTCAATTAAAATTCTATATTTACTTCTATATATATATATATATATATAGAACTATTTTATTCGAACTATTTTATATATATATAGAACTATTTTATTACTTCTATATATATATAGAAGTAAATATAGAATTTTAATTGAATTCCTTTCAGCCCTTTTATATATATATATATAAAAAAGCATTACCATTTCTGGATCATAAGAAATGAGTATGCAAAACACACGTCGAAACATGATCCAAGGAGTCAAAGGATAAAATGTAGTAGATATTTGAAAATATAATAAACAGTTCTGAAAATAATCTCTACATAGTCTATACGTATATATACATATATATATTTTTTTTAGATATATTCTATATCTACTCTTCGTCTCCTTGGTTCATCCTTCAAAGAGAGTCCTGCGTACTTATTTCTTATAATCTAGGAATGGTAATCCTGATACAATACAAAGAACTCTTTGTAGCGTTGACCTCGCGACTTTGAATTTTATATAGCCACGGATGTTGCGTACCGCGCATTTGTATCGCAACGGTCGCAGAGAAGTTGTACAAATTAAATTCTCGTATCAAACGGAACGAGACTCGGTCAAACGAATTCAACAGTTTCTAGGCACAATTTAATGCTTATTTTATGACCGACTCGACCTTCGTCACGGACGCAGTCAGTCGAGACGACGAACGAGGATCGGTTTCTTTCGTACGATCAATTAAACGCAATTGGATCAACGCGATACTTCGCCACAACGGGGCTCCAGGGTTCTGGTTTGTTGAGCGTTCAAGTGAGTCATTTTCACAAACGAAGAATTTGGAATATAAACATGCCTAATTCCAGAGATAGAAAATATTTTATTTAGTTAATAAATAACGACGTTTGACAATTTATTCGTGAGCTTTTCGAATAAGTAAACTTCAATTGTTCGTTGCGAATTTAATATGGTATATTTTTATAATTAATACATTAATTTTGTTACTACGTAAGATCTCAAGCAGACCAGAATCCCGGTCTAACACGTAATTGTAGGAACGGTTCTAGGATTCGTTCGTTAGTCACGTACCAACGATAACAGGAATTGTTTTCAACATTTCTTGGTCGTAAATAGGAGATTAACTGAAATAAAATACTGGACTTGAATATAATTTACAAGCGCGAATAACAGGCTACTTATCGAAAGGGACGCGACCAAGCCTACGTGATACGATCGAAGATAAAGTAGCCATTGATAGACACTGTTCATTAAACTCTGCATACGTCAGTATTAGCTGGATATCGTGTTACCAGTTCGAAGAAATTTGCAACTTAATTCGTGGCTCTTCGTCGCGCGAAGAGCAACCGTGTCTGGTGGCAATCACCTTTTATCAAGCGACATCTTTGTTACTTGAATCGTTTAAAACAATTTCCCCTTGCCCCGAGCAATTACATCGCTCGACGATAGAACAAAATATTGGTCGCGATTGCTCTTAAACAAGACCGAATTACATTCCGCGTACACTCGACACGCTTGTCTCGTTAAAAACGACGCAATAACATCATACTTCCTGGCGTGAATTACGAAAACCTTCCTTATTCTCTTCTTTCTTTTCTTAACTTCGCAAAAATATTTTATGTAACAGCTCGTAAAATAGTTTCGAGAATGTTCATTATGTCTTGGTTGTATACATAAATCATCTCAAAGTCCACGGACGTTGGAGTTGTCTTTGGGGTTGCATCACACTGTAAACGAAGAACCAAAGTCATACAGCAGAGATAGTTAAAATTTGACTGGAATAATAGACGATTAGAAATACTGTGTAGCGATTTATTCTAATCGTTTATTCAATTGAAAATATAATTTTAATTCTATTATTCAAATTCTAATTTTTATGTAACGAAGAACTGATAAAAAGTTTATTCCATCTCAATAAGAATTTTTCAACAGAAAATAACAAAAAGTTTAGCCGCAAATCGTGAAAGACGAATGTAAGTCCTTTACATTCGCTCTATTTATAAATTCACATGATAATAATACGATAACTGGTTCGTGTAACAAGAGACTTCCATAACCATTATACCGATATTTTCCAGTTATCATCTGACAAACTCTTACAGAAATACAGGTATGAAAGCATCGGTATATTATTATTTGCCGTTTTTATTATTGGTCTGGGCAGCGCGTACGTACGTTACAATGCAACAATGAAATACGACGCAATTCGTCCGTGGTCTTTGCGGGTAGTAAAATGTTGAAATGTCGCTACGGTGACGTACATAATATGCACCACAACTCAATTCAAATTTTATTTGTGGTAACGTTAACTAAAATAACGAAATGAATGATTAAAATTTAAATTATAAACATTTTTAACCTTTCACGAGAAAAATGGATATATTACTCCTTATTGCCCATCTTTGGTGTACAGTATACGTGGCAAATATTGTGTCATTGCAGCGACGCGAATCAGTTGCCGCGGTCAGCAATTTTTGTAAAGACCTTCTCATTATAAAATCGTTTAATACGTTCTCTGATTCGAAAAATTGCTAACGATGGTATTAAAAATTGATTCGTTTGTAGATTTCCTAATCGGTTTACAGGTTTCGTTTATCTGTTCTAAGACTACGCAAAACTATGTGAAGATTGTGATAAAAAGTCTAGAAAATACTGAACAACCAAGTCATCCGTACCGTATCGTATAACAAGTTAAACGTTTGAAACAAATCCTGTGCATATTTTTGTCGTGTAAAAAAAAAAAGTCATGCACCGAAGCGGGGACAGCAAACGATATTTTGAGGTGGACAGTATTTAAAATGTCATACGATGGAAAACCATAGCCGCGTCGAGAAAATCGATAGTCCTTTATCAGAAGGTCACCTTGAATAAGAAACCACGCTCAGCACGCCTGGCGTATTACGAGTGTTCAATCGCTTCAAGACTGAATCCGTTTTGAAAGAATGCAACGTGCTCGTATTGCACACTATACATATAAGCATAAGCACTTACTGCGTTCGTTATAGACGTACGATTCTAGAAAGATTTAATGCTTTCGTATGCGCTTATCGACGTTTGCTCTATTTACGGCAACGATTTTTTGCGCACATTACATTTTCATTATCGATAACAATGATTTTTTTCGTGATCAGGTAATATCGAACCGATTATAGTAAACTACATAGAAAGTGTTAGGCAAATACATATTCACTAGTATAGGTTTGACATTGTAACAGAATCTTGTACAAATGTCGCCCAGCCATTTTTACAATACTCCCAATTGAACGTTATCGTTAACTTATGGGCGTAGTGGACGAAGAATTCGAAAAATTGGCATAGATTCAAGAAAAGAATCAACAAATATTTAACAAAAGACTAGTCGTATGTTGGCGCTAATTGTTTGAGAAAATTACTCTCAAGAGTTGCAGTGTCAAGATACATCGGTTAATCGGTATCGCATGCGGTGCGTTCTGCTCTATTGTGCGACGAAGCACGTAAAGAAGGCATAACGATGTCGGTCACGAGAAATCTTTTGGCATCCGGCCACGCGAACTATTACGGTAGCAGCAACGTCCAAAAGATAATAATATACGTCACGTGGGGACATAAACACAAATTCAGAGATTTCCCACTTTTCAGCTACTCTCGACGACTCCTTCGGAGTCATGCTTCGTTAGTCTTTCGTCAGTCGTCAGAAGGAAACTGCGCGAGACGGTCGCGTGTTTTAAACCGCATACGTTTTTCAAGTAACGCAGTGTTTTTGTCAAGCTTCTTTAGTTCACGGCATATTTTAGAGAAACAAACCTGGCACAGTTTTTCATCGGGAATGATTATCGTAATTATTTAGAAAACTATATCAATTAGAAATTTATAGACCTGTTGCTAAAAATTCGCGGTGCAGTGTAGCCGACGGTTAATCGTGTATCGCGTAATATTTCTGCAAAGTTTGTCGAGGGAATCGCACAGAATTTGTGCACGATATTTTTTTGTGAAAACATGTTGTAATTCTGTCTAGAAGTTCGACCATTTATTATTTAGTTGATTATTAACTAATTCGTAGACGTATAAATACCACGAAACGATTTCTAGTAGACCTTCAATTCGATTATGTTTTGAATGGTAGTTGATTCGACAGCTAGAAAGAAAAAGGTGGAAAATTAAAAGTATGAAATGGAATTGTTACAGCTACCGTGGGACATGATCCACAGACGAGCAACGGTAATCAGCCGCAGCAACAGTTGCAACCCGGTGGTTGGATTGGAGTTCCCGAGACGACGCTGGTGTCGCGATCGGCTAGGAGCAACGGAAACAGCAACGGCTGGAACCCTGTTGTTACGACGCCGTTTCAGCATCAACAACAGCTACACGAACGGAAACAAAAAGAAACTAAATCTGGGGACCTGGGAGATGATGAAGACGGGGGTGGAGGGGGTGGAGGGCTGGAGGGGGCGGACCCAGAGGAGAACAACTCTGTTCACCTCAAGAGACGGGTGGGACTCGTCAGTGGGGTGGCTCTAATCGTTGGTACCATGATAGGTAATGATTGATAAACGTTCTTTACGAGTTCTTCATAATTGTTTACAATAGCGACAAGCTCGTAATTGAGTAATAGCACGAATTCTCTTTCACGGGTGAGGTTTTTATGAACGCGAGCATCGGATTGCCTATTGCTAGGAGCACATGAGGTTGTCTCTAATGTAAACAATGACCAATTTCTTTTTACAATTTGAGCGTGTAAGATTTGGTTACGTTTACGGCGCAGGTTCCGGGATATTCGTTTCGCCGTCAGGGCTTTTAGTTCGAACTGGCAGTATCGGAATCAGCTTCCTCGTATGGACGGCCTGCGGCTTGTTGAGTCTGTGCGGCGCGTTGGCATACGCCGAGCTGGGTACGATGAACACGAGCAGCGGTGCTGAATATGCGTACTTCATGGACGCGTTCGGCGCACCGCCTGCATTCCTCTTCTCATGGGTCTCCACTTTGGTCTTGAAGCCGTCTCAGATGGCTATCATATGCCTCTCGTTCGCGCAATACGCGGTAGAAGCGTTCGCAGCCGACTGCGATCCACCCGAGGAAGTCGTCAAGATCGTAGCGCTTCTGGCAATCATACTTATACTGCTGGTGAATTGTTACAGCGTTAATCTGGCCACGGGTGTGCAGAATGCGTTCACTGCGGCCAAATTGATCGCCATACTCGTTGTAATCGCCGGCGGTTCTTACAAGCTAATACAGGGTAACACACAGCATCTCAAAGGCGCTTTCAACACAATGGATGGCAGCTCCACCGTAAATATTGGAAGGCTGGCCACAGCTTTCTACACCGGTTTATGGGCGTACGACGGTTGGAACAACCTGAATTACGTCACGGAAGAAATCAAAGACCCCTCGAAAAATCTGCCGCGTTCCATTATGATCGGTATACCCCTCGTCACACTTTGTTACGCGTTGATAAACGTCTCTTACTTAGCTGTGATGTCGCCGTCGGAGATGATAGAAAGCGAAGCCGTCGCAGTGGTAAGAGAATCTGCAATTTCATTGTCGTTTCGATTAGAAACCAAGAATTAGAGCGAGACACTCGTATCCTCCCAATTTTTCAGAGCTAAGATCGGTAGAATATCTTGAAAAAAAGCATACAAATTAAAATCGATTCAACGGGGAGAGTCATCCTTCTATAATGTTTTGCAGACTTTTGGAAATCGGATTCTTGGCGTTATGGCGTGGCTCATGCCGCTCTCGGTAGCAATCAGCACGTTCGGTTCCGCAAATGGTACTCTCTTTGCAGCAGGTAGACTATGCTTCGCTGCATCCCGAGAGGGTCATTTACTCGACTGTCTCAGTTACGTGCACGTGCGACGATTCACCCCCGCGCCAGGACTCATCTTCCACTCACTCGTTGCAGGTACCGTTCACACGTCTATTCTACGTAAGACAAAATATACATTAGTATACATGTACTAATTATTTAATAAAATACGTTCAAATCGATCAGGAACGATGGTATTATCGGGAAACATAGATTCCTTGATCGACTTTTTTTCATTTACCGCTTGGATCTTTTACGGTGGAGCAATGCTCGCTTTGTTGGTGATGCGAAGAACCAGACCAAATCATCCACGACCATACAAATGTCCGCTGGTGATACCTGTGCTCGTACTTGGAATTTCTGCGTACCTGATTGTAGCGCCAATCATTGATAAGCCTCAAATCGAGTACTTGTACGCGACCGGGTTCATATTTGCAGGCATGCTTGTCTACCTCCCGTTCGTTAAATACGGATATGTGCCCAAATTTATGGGTAAGTGTAAATTTAGTTAAAAGATATCGTCGCATACATGTATCAACTAATTGCCAAACATTACTTTTCCAATTTGCAGAAGGAGTAAATGCCTTTCTTCAGATGTTACTCGAGGTAGCACCGACGGCTGCGGCCTTTGACTGACCTTGATTGAATCCAAGAAATGGTTCTTTTAATGCCAAATCATTCCATAGCGGCATAGTGAACCATATGTGAATATCTATTTTAAATATGCATAGACAAACATGTGTATCCTATTATTAAAGCTCTCAAAGCTGGCCCAAATGAATTCACAAACATAAAAATATTATTTTATTACTCGTTATTCTTCATATATAACATACAATATATGGAACATGTTATTGTTAGACATAATTAATTAATGTTGTACAGATTGCAATGAAGCAACTAAAAATATTTTAAACACTTATGGTTAAAATTTCAACTTTTTTTTTTACTCAGTGTTTTCTTATTCACTTTTCCATAAACCTCTAATATACCATCAGATTTTTTCTTACGAGTCTTTGTAGTTTTATGTTTTACCATACTTCCTTTAAGTCCTGAAGCATGTTCTTTTTTCTTGTTCATTTCCTTTTCCCTCATTTTTGTATTCTTTAATTCTTTATAATTTATGTTCTGGTTTTTAGGAGGTTTTGCTCCTAAATTTATGATAAGCTCAATTTTTGCTTTGTTTGCTTCTGATTTTTCTAAACCAGACATACCAAATTTCATAACTTCATATCTAACACGTTTCATTTCTAGTTCTTGTTTTTTCTTTCGATCTATGTATGTATCTTCCTTAGTTCCTTTTTCCATGTTTTCTTGAAGGCAAACATTTTTCTTCATCTTCTTTTTTGGACCTACGTAATTAACTGATATAAATTCTTTTGGAGCACCTTTTTTCATCTTTGACACACGCGTCGCAATGAAATCTTCCATTGTATTATGCTAAAAAATAATAAACTTTGATTAAGAACACAATTTATTGAGGTTAGATAATAAAATCTTTAAGTTTGCGAAGCAAATTTGGTAGTAATTGTCCAAATACTGAACAAAAATATACCTTCGAAGTGATATGATATATTGAATAATATCAAATCATTAATTAGACATAGATATCTGTATAAAATGATGCCGCTTGAGAAAAAAGTATCCAACAGTTATCATAAAACATCGAACATCAAAATCAAAGTTCTCTAAGGTTCTCGTGTGGTGCATTTCCAAATGTCTTGAGGTCACTTGCGGTTGAATCACTAGATGACGCTGTATAGATTATAAATGCAATAAATAAATTATTATTCATTAAATATGTATCGAATATTAATACACTTCCCTATCCGTTACTTTGGTTGTGGAATAATAAAGTAATCAATTTCTAACGAGAATGATAAGAATTCAAATGTATTTGATGCTGTCTGATGCTGTCCATGCATGTCCATGGCTGTCCAAGCATCGTATGATTATACTTGAACATAACCTTGCAGCATGCTTGAAATATAACGTAAAATAAGTTACATACAACACATTAATGCATATAGTAATTGTTACGTATATAAAATATAAAAATATTATCGCTTAATTACGATGGAGGAATATCCACCTATTAATGTACGTTTAGCTGTGAATAGAGTCAATCCAAACTTAATCAGAAGTGAAGAAGTTCAGCCGCGAATATATACACCAGGAGAAGAAATATCTAGTCAACCTGACTTTTTGAGGTAAAAACGGTATCTACAAGCCACTTATGAATAAAAAGCAGAATTTTCATTTCATATGCATTTTTAATAGAGGTCACGGAACATATGTAGATGATGAAAACACATTACGTGCATCCGTAGCTGGTGTGTTAGAAAAAGTAAACAAACTTATATCGATAAGACCGTTGAAAGCACGTTACCAGGGCGAAATAGGAGATGTTGTTGTTGGCCGAATAACTGAAGTACAACAAAAACGATGGAAAGTTGATACAAATTCCAAACTTGACTCTGTACTGTTATTATCCAGCGTTAATTTACCTGGAGGAGAATTGGTATGATATGAAAATAGAATTGTAACCCCGTTTATAATTCTGTTTAAAATGCAATATTTTTTTGTAATTCATTAGAGGAGAAGATCTGCAGAAGATGAACAAACTATGCGAAGGTATCTCCAGGAAGGAGACTTAATTTGTGCAGAAGTACAAAGTACTTTTGTAGATGGCTCGCTTTCATTACATACTAGAGTCTTAAAGTATGGTAAATTATCTCAGGGTATAATGATAAAAGTTTCACCAGCCCTCATAAAACGAAAGAAAACACATTTTCACAATTTGGAAAGTGGTATAAGTTTAATATTAGGAAACAATGGTTATATATGGATTGGAGCTAGTAAACAAGACACTGATAGATCAGAGGGAGGCTTTACTCAAGATTTAACTAGAATTCCACAGGAGAATCGTGAAGTTTGCGCACGACTGCGTAATTGTATTTTAATTTTAGCGCAATGTAATCTGCAACTAACGGATACATCTGTCACATATGCTTACGAAGAGTCTATGAAATATAAAGTAAATGAATTATTAGAACCGGAAGCAGCATTTGATATATCATTATTGACTCATCAAAGATTTTCACAATGATCCCAAATTATATATAACTACATGTTACTTAACATATAAACAGAAGAATATATATTTTATAATTTCTGATGTAATCTTTTAATTTGAGATACACAGTAATAAAAACTTTTTAGAAGTGTCTAATAAAATTTTAATTATTTAACATTTGCGTACCAAATAAAATGTTATATCATTGAAGCAGATTATATAATCGACTTTATTATGATTGTGATTTAATGAATGAACTTTCCAACTACTAAGTCCAAATATGAAAAGTTAGTACTGCATTGCAGTAAAATTGAAATAGATCATATAGAAATACACTGCAGTATTTTATCAGCAGTTTTGCCTGTAAGGATGCATGGAAAGTAGTATATAATGTGGTATGCACTGCTAATATGAGTATTGATTAAACAAATGACTTAGGAACAAGTAGCCACAGTGAAAGGACATGGATGCGTGTTTTACTGCTTTTGATAAAGATGGAGATGGATATTTATCTCTTGCAGAATTTGAACTAATTTGTCGTGCATTATTTCGTAATGATCGTGGAAAAATTTACACTCTTGAAAAAAAACAGTTGAATGAAATATATAATATATTTGATTGGAAAGGAGATGGAAAGATTGACAGGGAAGAATTCGAGGTATATTTGTAAATAATTCGTTTTCTGATACAATTAAGATCTATTCTGACATACTTATCATTTTTCAAATTTAAAGTAATTTTGTTTCTAATTTTGCAGATGTGCTGGAATCGTTGGATTAAAATATGCTGTCGTCCAAAAAGTGCTTTTCTGATTGTAGATGTACAAAATGATTTTATTACAGGTTCCTTAAACATTAAGCAATGTGCTGCACAGCATGATGGTTCAGAAGTGATTGAGCCAATCAATCGTTTATTAGAAACTGTACAATTTGATGCTGTGTTCTACTCTCTTGATTGGCATCCTGTAGATCATGTCTCTTTCATTGATAATTTACATCTTAGGTAATTGATATATCTTTGTTTACTTATATGAAATTCAATAGTACATTTTTATAGACATATTTATAAAATTGAACATTTTATCTTCCCACAGGGAAGTTGATTCTAGTAGTGAAATTTCAAAAGAAGCAGCACAAGTTTATGATACGGTTACATTCAAAGGGCCACCACTACTATCACAACGTCTTTGGCCACGTCATTGCATACAAGATTCTTGGGGTGCAGAGCTTCATAAAGACCTAAAGATCATCAATAATGCAATTAAAGTATACAAAGGTACAAATCCAGAAGTGGACTCATATTCCGTGTTTTGGGATAATAAAAAGTTGCAAGATACCACATTGTCCTCGCAATTACAAGAGACAGGAGCAACAGACATATATATTTGTGGATTAGCATATGATGTTTGTGTTGGAGCTACTGCAGTTGATGCACTTAAAAGTGGATACCGAACTATCCTCATTGATGACTGTAGTCGAGGGGTAGATCTTGTGGATATAGAAAAGACTAAATCTACAGTTATAGCTAATAATGGTGTAATTGTGAACTCAAATCAAGTAAAAGCAATGGTTGAAGGAAAGGATCGTCGACCAGAGCTTGGATATAAGTTAGCTTTGGAAATTAAACAAAAATTTAATACTGTAGATAACAATGACAAATGTTAGTTTGACATTTAACTAACAATTTATGTCAATTAAAAACTAGTATAAAAGCTTGTTTAAAATTGATACATGAATTTATTAAATAAATATGACATTGCATGTCATAAATAGTTTTAAATTTCTAATATGTATTTAATGAACTAGAATAAATATTATGAGTTATATTTTTCTAAAATTAATTTAAAAAATTGTAATATATTTAGTATGTAAATAAATAATATAACAAGAAACAATCTAGTTTAATAATAAAAACAATGATGCAAACTATTTCCTTTTATTTATATACAACTGCGAAATTTTGTATACATAACCTACACCGTAATATGTATTTTATGAAATGATAGAATTGTCTTTTAGTATTGAGTCATTTTTATTACGTATAAATCATTAACGTAACGAATTAAATCAATGAAATGCACAGAATAATGTATCACAAATTTAAGTAATTATAAATTTTTAAATATTAATAAAAAATGTCAAATGGTGGTAACTATATACATATAATAAACGATCTCAGATTATAACCTTAAAAAGTGGAACATTCCGAGTGTACTAGTTAAGCTTAGAATTCTTAAATATTGTGTAATTTTATAATAACAAAACACGGCATTATGTTTTATCATGTAAGTCATTTATACATAAAACACATTTATAAATAAATTAAAATATACGAAAGTAAAATGAATCCTGATAAATCGGCTTTTTTGGGATAGAATAACGATTAATAATAGATCAGTTTTATCAAGTTATGTTGCAATTTAAAGCTGTTATATCTTCACAGATATCATTGGAACATGAAATTTTGTTACATCCCAGGTATTTTGGTCCTCAATTGTTAGATACTGTGAAACAAAAATTATATACAGAAGTTGAAGGCACTTGTACAGGAAAGTAAGTTTACAGTAATGCTGAAAATGCTAAATTTATTTTGAATAAGTATTTTAATGAGTGGTGGTGTTTTAGATATGGTTTCGTAGTTGCTGTAACAACAATAGATAATATAGGTGCAGGAATTATTCAACCAGGACAAGGATTTGTTGTATATCCAGTTAAATATAAGGCTATTGTCTTTAGACCATTTAAAGGAGAAGTGCTGGATGCTATTGTAACACAAGTAAACAAGGTAATGAAATTGCTGAATATGTGTAAATATATATATATTTATTTTTTTTTTTCATCTTGGTAGGTTGGAATGTTTGCTGAAATAGGCCCACTTTCATGTTTTATATCTCATCATGTAAGTTACTGTAGAATTAGTTATTTTAGAATTTTATTTTATGAATTAATAAAATTATTTGCAGTCAATCCCAGCAGATATGCAATTTTGTCCAAACATAAATCCTCCATGTTACAAATCAAAAGATGAGGTAAATTTTGTTTTGGTAATATCTTAAATAGCATCAACATTATAATTATATTATAATGTCAATTACAGAATGTGATTATTCAACCAGATGATGAAATAAGACTGAAAATTGTTGGTACAAGGGTTGATGCTACAGGAATTGTTTGTATTCAAATACTTTAGATTTGTTACTTTATTTTTATACTATTATATGATAATGCTGCATATATTCTTTTACAGTTTGCCATTGGGACATTGATGGATGATTATTTAGGTAATTATATACTTCATTAATACGACAATTTTATTTATAATGCTGTAATTTATGTCTCTTTTACAGGACTTGTGAGCAATTAAATAAAATAAACATACCGATTATTTAATTAAGTATAAATTTTCAATATTAAATAAAGTTATTTTTTACGAAATAATGATCGTCTGTACAAATTGCGATAATGATACAAATTCAACATTTTCTATACCTTTGTGATATATTTTACCTTATACAGAGTGTTTGTAAAACTGTAAAATACAATAAAATTCAATCATTTTCTACATTTAATAAATCATTTAATTATAATGTATAAATTACTAATGTTATTATACATAATAATTTACTAAATTTGATTTCTTATTAAATGCTCATAATGTATGATAAGCAGGGGAAATTACAAACATAACCTGAAACTACATAATTTGTACAACTTTAGTGATATTAACAAGTTGTAGAGTCTTCGCTTATTCTTAGTTCATTGTTGCTGTAAACCATTCAAAAAGTGATTCATAAATAATTCCCTCAAATTCAATTTTTGTAGTTTATTATAATTATACAAAGTTTACTTGCATGTGTTTATTCACACGTGCAATTATCTAGACGTATCAAAGCAATATATCAAAGCAGATAATGTCCTTTGATGCTATGAAGAATTTCTTGTTTAGTGCAGTAACTTCACAAATTTTGCTATATTTGTTTCTCTCATTTTATTTGAGTAATATGAGATTTTAATTTGGAACAAAATTCAGTAAAAGTATAAGAATCCAAACCTAGTAATGCTGTAAATAAAGCTAATTTTGCTTCAACGGGGGTTTTTATTTTTTCACACGAATCTGTATCAGGCATCATTTTGTCAACGACATGTTTAAATATTTTACCGTCATTATTAACATAAAACGTAGAAAAACCGTCATACCACCTATTGATAAATTTTTATAATTAGTATGATAAAATATAAAAATAGATTTGTGAAATGATATTAAATTTACTTACGATTGTTGATCCTTTAAATATGACTTTATCTTCCAAATTTTAAGTTTCCAAAATGTAAGAAATATATGTGTACCAGAAACACCTATTATACGCCATCGAACTTTAATACTATTATCTTCTGGATGCATGGTAATTTTTATAATTTCAAGTTTAACAAAAGCAAACTTTATGTGACCTACTATTTTAACCATAGCTATTTGCTTTATATAATTAACAAGTCCCCTGTAAAACATTTTCTGTAATACATGTAAATTCAACTATATAGAACTACTATTACATTTTTATAAATAACATGAACAGTAAAAAATATTTTAGAGGTTTCTACTTACGTAGTTGTTGTTCCTTTAATATTATTTATAAATATAATATCATTAGTATACAATGTATAATCCATTGTTTTAACAAACAACATAGGTAACTAGAAGAAAATGTTTAAAAGAAATGATTAGTCTTCATATCATTCCAGATGTCAAATTTTTATGATAAAATTGCATACATCTTTACTGAGGGTGTCAAATGCATATTGCAATTGTTCTTCAGATGGTTTGCGATCTTCAGAAGGTTGATTCTCATTTACATTTTGCACTTTAGGAGAAAACTCTGTGTAAAGAATTCCTTGCTTTCCAGAATTAGATGAACTATTATCTACAGATTTCTTAAGTGCCACCATGTCAATAGGAAGGAGACAAGACTTCTTATTTTTATGAATATACTCAGTATCTGTGTGAGATTTTGACCATCGTGTATCATTATTTAATACAGAATTATTTGTAAAATTATTATTAATTGTATCCAACGTTCGACTATTTCTTTGTCTCTGCTGTTTTAACCATGCTGTTTGTTGTTGATTACAGTTACAGTTTCTATTTAATATCTGTGATTGTTCTGTATACATTTTAATGTTCGTCAATGGTACATATTGACCCAGTAGATGAATTGTAGGATTTAAAGATCTTGCTCCAGAATTTATTGTTGTACATGATGTAGCCTGTAAACCCAATAAAACATATCCTTGTTTATTCATATTTTAGTTTTATGACTTTTGTCAATATGTATCAAAATAAATTATCAATATATACAGTTATTACAATAAAATCCACATTATATAAGAATTTTAAGGTTAACTTATTTCGGCAATTTTGTATAGCGATAGAAAGTAGTAATAATTTAGAAGAAAGATATTTTGGTTATTAATAGATAAAAGTGCTGTTGAAATTCTAACAATTATCGATTGTCCTAGCAAAGTATCAAGTATATACCTCTTCGAATAGAGATGATTTAACATGCTTTGGTAAGTGACGGTTGATTTTTGTTACTTGTTTTCGTGTACTGACAAAAGATGTAAATTTATTGGGAAGAGTGCGTAAACACAAGGACATTTTTCCTAAAGTTTCGTTTCACTGATTCATACTCAATATCCTTCAATTAGTAGTAATACAACATAATGTGCAATAGACACAACTGTCGGCATGACCTTACATGATACGATGATACCATACAATACTATTATAGTTGACTATAGTCCAGTACTATAGACATAGGGTGAATTCAGAAAGGCCACCGCTCAGTAAACCGCTCTGTGAGCGGGTATGGTTATAAATTTTTCGCTACAAACTTAGGCGTTTTCTCACTGATGGCCCCACTGATACTATTTTAAAAAATGATAAATTGGGATAAGCACAACAAAGCAGTCCCCATGTTTGTATATAAGATATTTAAAGGTATTGCGAATAGAAAGAAGGTATATGTAATATGACAATTTCTTGTTTATTTATATACACATATTAACATGAAGCTATAATGATATACGCGAAAAAGAAACAATAATTATGTAACATTTCTTAACTAACATTAATTTATTAAATTTTTTAATATCTATTTTAAACAACATACTCAACAATAAAAATGATCATTGCTGAAAACATACAGTCAATACTTGTATCAAATATTTAAAAAAATACGTTATTAGTGAAAATGTTAAGTATCAAAATAAATATTTTAAATACACTCGGTCACAAATGCTTTTAAAAATGCAATGATAAAATATTTGAATTTGAATGATATCGTATACACATTTTTACATCAGATGCAAGTAGAATACTAATGAAACAAGTATTAAAGGATTGAACTTAAAAATATGATTTTACGTTTGGTTTACTAAAAATTCTTTGTTGTTATGGTTCATAACATGATTTTATCATATACAGAATTTGAACATAACCATTATATTGCACATTGCTTGCTGTAAAAGTACTTGTAAACATTAATTTGAATTTCATTTTAGAAAATTCATCATTAAAAGACATTTTGGGTGTCTTACCAGAAGACAATATTATTAATGAAAAATACGATTAAATGTAACGTTATTTAAGCAAAATGCTATATCGCTTCATAGGCAACATCAACGCCAATTCTAGTCGCAGAACCATTAAGGAATTCCTCGAGCTCGTCGCGTTCTCTGTTTTCATCTCTTGAACGGTGTAGCGAACGTTTCTTTTTCTTTTCTGCTTTATCTGTTTTATCTTTATCCTTGTCTTTATCCTTAGCTTTTTTCTTTTTCTTTTTTTCCTTGTCTTCCGTCTAAAATAAATTTCATTCGAGGCCATATTATTATAAAATGAAACTGCATCAAAAAACACTTTATAACTAGCATGTACCTTTTCTTTGTGCTTTTTCTTTTCTTTTAATACAGGGCTCCCACCATCAGAACTCATATGCCGTACACTAGTATTGTCAAGTAATTCTAGATGAACATTAGAACTTGTGACACTCACGTCTAAACTTTTATCACTTAATTCTAGCCTGTCTTTCCTCATACTGTTACTGCTCACATCTTCACCACCTTCGGGACTTTGTCTCCATTTAGAATCACGTCGAAGCCAACTATCGAATGCATCTGAACTAATTTCCTGCTGTTCACTTATATCGAAATTATTCGATATTTGCAATTCTTGCTCTATAGACGAAACAGAATCACGCTTGTCAGTTTGACGTAGTTTTTCTGGATTTATTTCTGCGTTCAATACAGCATCGCGTTTGTGTTTTTGTTTGGATAAAGGATTCTCAGCTAATTTTGGCTGAACAGGAGGTGTCGTTTCTTCAGTTGATGATAAATCATCCTCGTAACCAGCAACCAAAGGATTTGCAGTTTCAGTATCACTGTTAACAAAAATAATAATGAAAAACAAATTAAGTTTCATTTCATTTTGTTTAATTGGCTTACAGTATACCTTTCAGAATCTAGCTCTTCATGCTGTACTTTCTGTGGCGAAATTTGACTGTCATCTAAGAATGATCGATCTAAAAGACCATCGTCCGGTACGAAATCTTCAACACTAGTTAATGGTGTGTTTGTATTCGTGCTATTAATATGTACTACTTTGTCCACTTCATCTTCCTTTTTATTACCAAATATTTTTGACATAAGCGATTGTGGTTTGCCAATTGAGTCTCTTCTATCGGAATTATCATTTAATAATTCCGCCATCTTAGAATCTGTCTTTGACATAGCTTGTGTGGTTGATAATGCTGATGCAGTCTGTGAGTTTTTAATAAGAACTCCTTGATTCTCTAAAGCATTCATAATATTTTCCTTCTTTGGTGGTGATTTTAAATCTATATTTTTCACTGGAATAGGTGTTCCACCTCCTATGGGGCCAGGCATTGAAACTGATCTCCTAACTTCAGCATTTACATTTGTATTACCATTAGAGGATGATATTTGATGACTGCTTAGAGAAGATGTAACATTAGGGACTAGAATACTGGCAGAGACAGAGTCCGCAATGGCTCTTCTTCTGTTAACAAGATTATCCAAAAATTTGTTATAATCAGCGTCGTCACTATCTTGAAAGAGGTCAAGTTCTTGTATTGTCAAACAAGTTTCTTCTTCATTGGTTTCAAGTTGTTTCAAAAGTGTTTCTCGTTGTAGTTGAAGAAATGGAAGATTGAAGAATTTGTGCAAAAGTTTTAATCCAAAGCTATTTCTCATAGATGATTCTGCATATCTTACCTGTCAAAAATAAGAAAGTAAAGAATGTTACGAGCATGTTTTTTCAAACAAGTATGACTAATAATAACAGCAAATTTACTTGCGCCGATCTTTCATGTAATGAATCGATAAAGTATGTCACATGGTCTGCTGTGACTGTCCTATGATGTGCCATATCACAATGATTTCCTAAAACAATAACTGGAATATGGCTAGGTATTTTTGGAAGTTCTCTTTGTATATAATCAAATGTCCAGGATTTTGTTATGTCCATCATAATAATAACACCATTGGTCCCTTTATACACATCAAGAAATTCTGCATCCAATGCGGGTTCTTCAATAATGTTTTCAGATGGCGAATTATCCATTTTCAGTCCTTCCAATTTTTTTCTTGGTCTGCCTTTATCTACCACATCCCAAACTTCCACTTTAACAATGTCATCAGTAGCTTTATAATTCCATTGAATGCTGGTCACTTGTATTTCTTCTGTTGGTATATATTCTTCTATAAATTTTTGGCCTTGAAGTCTATGAAATAAACATGTCTTTCCCACATTTCTATCACCTTTTATAATAATTTTCACTGAAAACATAATTTCTTTTACTTCAAGAATTTTATATTTTCCTTAAAAACCATTAGAGTATACTTACTGTTATACTGTACACCTTTGGAAAACTTTCTTTGTAATGTTGTTGGCATCGATTGATGAGTTGGTCTAAGAGATACATTGCCAACTCCATCAGATTTTCCAGCTAATCTTTTAAATGCAGATAACATTGCTCACTTGCTTTCAACCCAGTCAATAATGTTTTAGGAAAGTATCCTTATTAATGTTAAAACAAATATCTAAATAGAAGGAATACACAAAAATTAAATTCCTTTGGTTTCATTGAATAAAATATAATTGGAGCTAATACTACGATAAAGTAGCATCATGTGACTTTAGTTAAACTTATATAGGGCAATTGTTGAACAATGAAAACTATTAAAGGAACCATTTATTTTTTTTTAAACAATAATACAAATGTCACAAATAATAAATTAAACATGTAATAAATTTTCGATTTAACCGTATATAAGATCTATTGAATTGAAAGTATTACGCGATCGATTTGATTATCTAACACAGTAAAAAAATACGAGGATGCATTTCGTTAGTAAACAAGTCAATATTAACTAATGTTTGTTATAATAATATTCCAAAGTACACTTAAAACTTGTTGGGGAAACATGAACACATTACTTTTATCTTTTTCGTCAATCACAGAGAATAGCAGATAATTAGATTGCTTACCACATGTTATTCTAAATTTTCCATAGAAAATAAAAGTTTATTCGAAAAAGATAACCGATCTAACAAAACTGAAGCAGCTGTCACTTAGCAGCTGTACTTATTTTTTCCCTGTAATGTTGGTACCTAACCATTAAATTTTATTGCCATAAATAGGTATGTACTAATGCATACGACTACCAAACATTACAAATTGCTATAAGTTTATCTAATAAGTAAATATTTAAAAATGTTTATTACCGGTTACACTTTTGAACACGCTGTTTGAGCTATGTACTAAAATTGTGAAGTTGGTAATAGTGAAAGCGGTGTTTTCCAAAATCTTGTTTATACGTTCAAAAAATTAACGAGGACAGCATTTTTAATTAAACTCAAGGATTAAATATATTTATTTAAATATCAATATAATTTAATATTACAATTACAAATTGTCGATACATTTTAGTAAATAGAAAATGATTTATTGACCATAATACTTAGTTTGAGCGCTAAATTTTCTCTTAACAAAGTATGCTTTTTTCCATGTGTTATTGTTAACACTAAATTTGCTTTTTCTAATGCTTCCATAGCCTGGTTTGATTTTTCCAGCTGTAATTGTATTTTTCCAATCATAAAGTACAATATTCCAGTGAATGGATGTATTTCTCCATAATATGCTCTGAAATATGAAAATTTCTCGTTACTTTTTATCTATGAATATTATAAACTGAGGAGATCTTCTACTTACAAATAGGCATTAATAAGCTTCCTGCCATAGAATTCTGCTTCTTCCCAATGTTGCAAACTTATAGCTGAATCAAAAGCACTTTGCAAAGTTTGCACATGCTGTACATTAAGAGGATGTAAAATACCTTCTTGTTTCTTGAGGCACATCTTGCTTATATCTAGATCTAAGCTTCCTGTTAAAGAAATTATATATATGTTTTCACTGAGTCTAGTTGGTAATTCAATCCTTCAATATTATTACTGAGAAGGATACAAGCCATATTCTTCATGTTTTGTAAATGATATGCAGTAAAATCAGATACTTCATCAAAGGTTTCTTTGAATTTGTCTGAAAACTGTGCACTACATTTTTGACATATGTCTGCATCAGAAGGACAAGGATGCATGCAAGATTTATTAGGACACTTAGCAGCTTCTGCCATTACATCTGGTTGTTCGCATCGTTTGCAGGTACACCAAAAATAATAAGAACTTTGTAACACTTCACGTCGATCCTTTGTTGTTTTAAGTATGTCAATATATGATATTCTTATCTATATATACATAATCATCATTATAATACTGCACTTTTGACATTTTTTCCAGATGAAAACTTTCATTGTAACTTATTTACAATAGCATACATAATTTACCTGAGACCAATCTAAACAAGGAAGATCTTCTATTGTTCTGATTATTACAGTAGTTCCTTCAAAAATGGCTACAGCATTTGGTGCACAACTATGGTCTATGATAGATGGTCCTAAATAAATTCCAACACCAATAGTAGTCATATTCTGATCAAATATACTAAAAGAGTTGATACATATTCTGCCATAAATTCCTATTAATTCTGCAGAATTTGGCAGAGGAACATCTCTAAGATAGTCAAATAGAACACCACATAGACATATAAAATGATCCATTCTTTTTTCATCCTTTTTTATATCAGAATAATCTAACCGAGTAAAAGATTAAGTGTCAATAAAACAATATAGAACAGATATTTTTTATTTTCCTAACTGTTGCAGAGCACTTACGGGACATTAGATCTTTAAATTTCCTGTAATTTGTTTCACTATAATATCCCATCTCTTCACCTTTACCTTGATTCAGTTTTATAATTATACGAGCCATGAGTCGTGCCACATCTGGCACAACTTTTGGCGAAATTCTTTTTAAATTTGCACATTCTGTATTGTGTATGCGCCAACCACTTTGTTGACATGATCGGTTACAATAAAAAACGCATTGACATGCAGAACATTTTAATAGTTTTCCACTGAAACAATGAAACTCTGTCTATATGTTCTTATGAAGTATGTACTTCATATCATTTTTATAACCTTATTATGTAGTAAAATAGTTTTAAACAATCGATGGAAACGTATATAATATAATCAATATTAAACAACATTTCAATTTTTTCAGAATGATCATATTATACCTTTTAAGACAATAATCGCATCGATCAGTTCTGAATTTTGAACTTAGAACATAAGCGAATGGTTTACCAGTAAATATAGTAGTTCCTTTTTTAATGGGATTTTCATTTATGCTCATCTTTAACAAACGTTTTATTTATTAAAAAAGTTTATTTTCGATATGAGTAAACAATTACAATTTATAAACAGTAATACAAATGTGACTACAGGAAATGATCACTTTAGAAAGATAACCTAAACTGATACTGATCAGGGCCACCAAGCTACCGTTGATACTGATTTAATATTTTTGCACATTCGTTTTGTTTTAATTAATTAAGCATTACCTTTGCAAGCAATGGTCACATCTTTCATTGCGATATAAGGATCGTAAAACGTAAGCAAAAGGTTTAGCAGTTAAAATAGTAGTTCCTGTAGCGACGGGCAATCGTTTATATCCATTTTGTATTCTCATTTTTATTGGTAATTATTTATTTATAATTAATTTTTGAATGTTTTAACACGATATTAAATGCCACAATATAACATTAAATAGCTCTAGTTAATTACTACTTTGATCATGTAAGTTTGCCCAGAGACTATTTTGAGATCAGTTTATTTTAGCAAAATTTATTATTGGAAGGATCTAAATTTGATAATTAGCAATAATTATTTGACGAGTAATGATTGTACAAATAATTATGAATGAGAAAATCCGAAATGGAATATTTATTTACAATAATATAAGAGTATAAAAGTCTTGAAAACTTGATATTTTCATAGCTCTATTTTCTATAAATTTAAAATATATTGGCATATTAAAAACACACAGAAAAAATATATTTTGTTTTTCTTGATAAACACAGTGTCATATGTACAATGCCGCTACTCATAATATAAATTAGTCTTGATGTTTTATTCATTTTGGTTAAATCTTAATATTACTATCCAGAAGTTTCTTGTGGTTTTCTCTACAATTTCAGTATTTTAATGTACAATGTCTTAAAATACATGGTTTAAATGATACTTCAATGTTGCCTGTACCCACATTGATCAATTCAAAATGAGTGTATTCTACACCGTTTTGTTCAAAAAATTGTAATTGTATAGTAAACTCAATTGAGCATAGAAAGGAACAGGAATGGGAGACTGTTTTTACTTAGTGATCATGAAAATGTAATGATGCATATTCAGGTGACACCATGGCATCTACCACTCTTTTTTATGTTCATCCATTGATACACCTCCAGGGCCTAAAGACACTATCATTAAGAGCCCACCAATTACTGACAGTGTCTGTAAGAAAACATATTTGTGTTATTGACTTTAGATTAAAATAAGATGAATATTAAATAGGCTAATTGATAATAACAAATAAATTATTACCTGAAAGAAATCATATTTAAGGAAGTCCCTAAGTGCTTTATATTCTGGAATGGACCACCATGCATTGTGGTAAAAATTGAGTGTAGTTAATAGTAAGACAAGTAACAAGGCACTGAGTTTAGTCTTGTATCCAATAGTCACTAATACCATGAAAGTACTTCCAATAATATCCTGCATGATTTGAAGTAAGGATACCTCAAAACGAATCAGTGTGATAAACATAAATGCCAACAAAATTCTGCCAGCTAATTGTAGCATATTTTTAGGTTTATTATCTCCAAGACTTGGAACTCCAGCAAATAATGATCTTCCTTCGACTCTTGATTCAGCCAGAACAAGAAGAAGAGCACCTATTAGTGCTAAATTTCTGAATAGGAACGTTATATCCCACAAAATATTGTAGGCTAATGTTTGCAGGACCACTATGAAGAATAAGATTCCACAGGCAATGCTGACTTTCAATCTTCCAATGACCATGATACATCCTCCAAGTTGCCCAACTAAATTAACCAAGACGAAAGTTGTAGCTAAGAAAGTTCCACAGTTCCACGAGTTCGCTATAAATTCTTTCTGTTCGGACCATTGAAACCACATTCTCAATCCATCTTCCAGAAATGTGGCTATGAGACAAAGTCTTGCAAGAGTTGGCAATATGTGCTTTCCATTGCGGATTACCTATTATTAAAAAAAAATATAACAGTTACAATAATATTATGAAAGAGAAATAATTAAAGATTGGGCATGAAATTGAGTAGAAATACATGGCATACAGAGTATTCATGGTGAAAACACCATTACATAAGAAGAGAAATTGAATAGCGAACAAAATGAACATTTGCATATTTTTAAAAATTCTCATTAATTTAATTTACTTAAAATATAAGAATAGATTTGATGAGTAAGTAAAATATGCACTACACAGACAATAAAAAGGACATTGGGCTATTATTTTGAAATTGATGAAAACCGGGTGGTACAGCGAAATTTGTTGCATATACTTCTTCAGGAATGTCTTAACCTTTCCCAGTATACAAGCAGGACTAAAGAGTAGTTTGCTACATTTGGTAATTGTAAAAGCTTCTTACAACAACGCATAATCGAAGAAGGAAGAGATTCAATTTAAAATATGCGAATATATATAGGCAATCGTGCCACGATGACGTTGACAGGAGTACACCTGTGTTCCTACAGGATTTCTGCTGGCCTTCTATCACGAATTTCTTTACAAACACAAAACTATACGCACAATAGAAAATAAATCGAGCACAAGGGCTCGTAAATTCACCTGATCAGCAATTTCCTCCGCTTTAGAAATCACCTCCTGCGAGATCAGCATCTTGTTTTATTCAAAAATCAAAAAGTAACCCATACACTCACGTAACACACGTGCACGCACGCAAGTGGTACCGCAGAAAAGAGAACACAGAGACAGGTAAAAGGAGCGAGAGAGAGGGAGAAAATTGGAGAAACACGGATCACACAAGCACAGTAGCTTGGCACGACTGTTGAGCGATATTCTCGCAACTCTTCCGTGTGATGTGGAGATCGAGGGTGCGTCACTTCCGGCGTACGTGGTCAAATAACTTATTCCGCTATCATTTTGAAAGTATAAAAATGGGTTAACCACTTCGAATTATACGTACGTTCTTAATTGTTACAAAACTCACTTCTCTTATACCCACTTTCTTTTCAACGTTTCTCTGTACTTTTAGTCAATATGTTTAGTCTATGTCAATACGTTTTACAATGCAAATTAAACATAGGAATGCACAATAAGAAACAACACTGTTTTTCATTTTTTTTCTAAGCAACCTTCAATAGGTCAAATCAATATTAGAGAAAATTTAATCTGATTATATTTGCCACAATGAAAGCTACGATATTATAACACGATGATTAAACAATTCCATAGTTTACTGTTCTAATTGCATGTCAATCACAGTGAATACACGGTAAATAGGTCTTACTTACGGCTTACTGTCTAGTCATAATCGTGGCAAATATAATTATATGTTGCTTGACACTGGTTCAAATCAATAAATTCGTTTAACAAAAAAATATGTCCAAGCCCTTTTTTAATTGATGACATTGTATGAATTCTAGTTTATGCAAACATATGACTTGAAAATTATGTAAGTCACTATTTATGTATAATAATTACAGTTTTGCAGTAAAAACATAAAGATATGAAATAATATTTTAAATTGACATTGTCTGTGGTGCTCAAAACAGAAACAAAGTAGTTCCTATTCTTAACGTTAGATGGCGCCACTATGCCATAAAACCATCACTCCAGTTATTTATCCACAATATTACCTCAACATGTAACCTTTTAGTTACATATTAAAGCTATCGTTAACTCATTTTTGGTAACGGAGGAGTCAAATTTAGTTATTAAATCGCGAGCAAGTAGTGTTTAGTTAAAACGATTTCCATTGAAAATTTAAAGGATTTTGCACGCTATGTCATAAAAAAAAATGTATCGTATTTCTTGTCCTATAATGTATTAAGGACAGTGTTTTTGTGTTGGTATTGTATGGTATTTTTTATAAACACATAAAATATAGGATGTGAAAAAATTTGAAGGATTTTGTGGCGTGTTCAATTCTTGATTTAGAACCGAACCATACAAAATATAAAAGCACTGAGGCGCCACCGTACTCATATGTTGACAACTAAAAATATAGTGTCAAGTTGTGTTTCGTGAATGTAAAATATTATCTTTTTTATTGTTTTATATTTTCGAAGAATAAAAAATAAGTATTCGTGTATGTGTATCGAAGCGTGTGCAAGATGTTTGAAATGATGAAAGTTTGAAAACCGTTGATTACTCGTCATTACTCGTTTTAGAAATAAATTGCGTTGACTATAACAAACAATTTTCGTATCGTAAGAAAAAAAGTAAACATTTTACGAAATTTATTGTTTCTGAGGTTTCATTATTAGATGAAATTCATAGAATAATTAGTTCCATGATTCGACATACTGTAATTATTCGCTGTAAGCTTAAGTCAGGTAACAAACAATTTAATTTACACTTAGAGCATGATTCGTAAATAGGCTGGCAAATTTGGATGTCCAACGTTTTGTCATTCGAGAACAAACCGTTTTATTTTATGGCAAGTGTATGGTTTATATTTTATTTAATGATTATTTGGTTCTATAAGAAATTTGTTTGATTACTATGATTATGTTGAATATTATTCGATATTTGTGCGCATTTTATACTGTAATTGAGGAAATTGATTAGTCACTATTAAAAGTGCGTGCCGTAGCTTTCTTATTTATTTCAGAATAATCAGCATGGCGCAAGAAGCAGTAGACAAATTATTTCGAGAAGATTTTGATGCTGGTCCTTCTAGTTATGATGAAATTATTCCTGGTTTATTTCTTGGAAATCTCACAGCTGCCACAGATGTCGAATGGCTGAAAGAATCAAAAATAAACTACATACTTACAGTGGATTCTTGTCCGTTACCTCGAAAGATTCAAGAGCTTTTGCCAAATTTAACTATAAAATACATACAAGTTACAGACATGCCACGCGAGGATCTTTTGACTCATTTTGGTGATTCTTATGAATTTATAGACCATGCCCTAGAATCAAATAACAAAATATTGGTGCATTGCTATTTTGGTGTCTCCAGATCTGCTACATTGGTAGTTGCATATTTGATGAAAAAATATGGAAAGAGTTTCTCCGATACGTTTGATATGGTAAAAGAAAAGCGACGCTTTATCGGACCTAATGCCGGATTCTTAGCTCAGCTAAAACTATATGAAGAAATGAGTTACGGAATAGACAATACTAGCGTCCATTTTAAGATGTATAAGCTACAAATCGCAGCAGACAAAGTTCGAAAAGCAAAAATTTTACCGCAAACCTGCGCAGAATTAATAAAACCAGATCCAGCTCTGGCTACGGTACGTCCAGAGCCCACGGTCTACCGTTGCAAAAAATGCCGGAGGATCGTGGCTAGCGCTAGTAATATTTTACCGCATATGCCGAAGGAGAAACAAATTTGGAGACATGTAAGTACAAAGAGAACATCTAAACAATCAAAACCTTCGCACGAGCCTGTGGATCCGCAGAAGAAAGAAGAGCAACAACCCACAGAATTTTGTACAAAAATATTATTTGTCGAACCATTGGCTTGGATGCCCGATATAACGCATAATCTCGAGGGAAAGCTAAATTGTCCAAAATGCAGTACAAAGCTGGGCTCTTTTAGTTGGATTGCAGGCAGTCAGTGTCCATGCGGTAGCAAAATAGCACCTGCGTTTTATTTGGTTCCTTCGAAAGTGGACTGGAGCAATGCTGTACAAAATGTACAAGTAACTGTATAGTACTAGGGATGTATTTGTATATTTAAGAATTTTTGGACGGACGATTAACATACAAAAGAACACATTTTTGGAGACTTTTTACGTGGTTGTAGCTCGTCTAGTACTGTAACGGACACGAACATGACCAATAGTATATATCTATAAAATTCGTATTCTAATTTTGTGCCAACGTTCACGTACTATATGTGTGCAATTAATCAAACTTGTTTTATGACTGTAATTTTAGATGTTTCTTGCCGCAACAAGCGAACGTCCCGTTCTTCCGTAATTCAATGTTTGTATTTATATACATCTTCCGTTTTTTACTATCAACATACATATAACGTTATAGCTTCGTAGACTAGAGTATCGTTTTCTGTATATATATTTCTTGTATCAATAACATAATATATATACGATTTTTATCATTTATTAAGCTACATCAATTCTACAAAATAACATTACGAGTTACTTTCTTTACCCTGTGTTTTGTGCTTAAACGCTAGATTATCTCGCGACGCTTCACGATTATCTTACGTAATAGAAATAAAAAGCTTTGGTATTCGATAAATAGCTATCGGTCGAGACAAAGTGTCCTTGGTATTACCGATAAGCATGAACGCACCTTACGATTGGATTTCCTTGTTTCGTAAAGATAAGATTACATGCTTGCGTGCATGGCGGAATACGTGGTTCCGTACGGATGCGTTCTGAACCTAAGCGCGTTAAGACTGTTCATCGCCGAACCATCTAATCCACCGTGGATCTCTGTTTGGTGGTAAGAGGGAAGATTTACGTTTCCCAAATTACCGTTGATGAATCCATGGCAGGTTGTCGTCGCTTGCATAGAGGCGAAATGTTGCGACGATCTCCAATAATCGCTGTACGGATACGGAGCCGTTTGCGACGTCTGTAACGCTTCCGCGTTGTTTTCCTGGGTGTGGGTCACTCTGATCGGACGCAAAGGTAAAGCGGCTTCCATTTCCCTGCTCGCGGAGACGCCCCGATTAATAGCAGAACTTCTTTCGTTTCGACGAAATTTCGCACGCCTGTTCTGAAACCATACCTGCGAGGGAAGGAAACCTTCCTGTTAAAACATCTTAAAGTGGGATTCCACTTAGTTGGATAAACAAAAAATCGAATTTTTGTGCATTTTCTGAAAGTATTCACATTTAAGAGTGTACAAGTCAAATTTTGGGCTCCAATGGCACTGCAAGAACATTTCATCTAAGTAGGGCAATATTAACTTCCTCTTGTAGAATGTTCCATTCTACTACTAATATATGAAATTTCAGGGTCGCGAAGAAGTGAGTTTTTACCAGGTTCTCTCGCTTACAGTTTGCGTTCGGGTGGCCGAAGACATACGTAGTAGCGAAGGGTGATTTCGTTCAAGTACCCCTAACGCGGATTTCTTCGATAAGCGAGTAACTCATATATACCTATGTGCAGTGCTGCACACGATACATGAAATGCCTAGAACAATCTTTGTCGGGCCGTGGTGTGTCGGATAGTATAAATCAACCTTTATCGAAGTCAGAGCGAACCGAAGGGAAGAGAGGAAGGAGACGAATAGCGAGAAGGGATGCGGCGAGCAAAGACGGGACAGCGTGACGGCTCCTGGCAGGCGTACGGTCCGCAGACAAACGGATAGACAGACATCCGCGGGCGACGCGGGACGTGGCAGGAGCAGCGGTAGCGGATGGCTCGACACGAGCAACGAAAAGTGTGCTCTTCGTCGCGACCGTGTACAGAGAAGAGTCGAGACACCACACACGTGCTGGATACGACCGCGCATCATACCCTGTGCCGTATGCCAAGCACAGATGCTGCCCGCTGCTGCTGGAACGACGCAACTATCCCGGCAAGCTAATCATAGCTCCTTGCCCTGACAACCTGTCTCCTCCGATTTTCTGCCTAGCTATCCGCGACCTCCACCCTCCTCCCGTTTCTCCCTTTTTTTTTTTACTCTCCTTCCTTCATCTCACCCCGCCCGCCTGTCTTTCTGCCGCTATCCACCATAATCTCGAGGAACACATGTGCCCACCAGCGGCACCGTTACTTTTTCTGATGGACATTCTTCCCCTTTGCGAAGTGGAAGTCGTCTTCAAAAGACACTACC